AATAGAGGCGTTTTTTAAGGCAGTTCGTAATATAAGGGTTAGTAGCTAAGTAGTAAGAATGTATACGAAACTTTAAACTAAACTAAAGGGAGTACTAAATCAATATAGCTGCTATCTATATAAGACGAACTGCGAAGAAAGAAAGAAGGATGCCTTAGAGGGAGAGCCCCTTCCTTAGTATTCCGCCCTACGGCCGTCTAGCGCGTCCGACGCGTAAGCGTAAGTACGTATATCCTACTTGTCCGCTGTCTCGTAGCGCCTTTGTCTCCTAGCTAACTAGCGTAGCGCGCGTATGCGAACTCGTTTAACCGCTCTTAAGCAAATATATTTCTCCTAGCTCTTCCCTGCCTTCCGGTTCCTTCCTACTACTCGGATCTGTCCTACGACTCTATATGTCTCGCTTGCTATCGTCCGTATATACGTGCGCGTAGTTTAGTGCAGTCCCGTCGTTCGTATATTAATATATAACGTATTGTTCTGCTGTATACGGCCTCCGCGGGAGTCCCTAAGATGTTACGTTATACGGCTAAGTAGGCGACCTAGGCGTACTAGGCGTACTAGGCGTACTAGGCGTATTAGGCGTACTAGGCGTACTAGGCGTACTAGGCGTACTAGGCTAACTGGGCGACCTGCTTCGCTAGGGGCCCCTGCTGCTAAGGCAACTCAAATCCGACATCACTTTATAGTATAGCGGCTAGCTTATAGGACTTGTCGGTGCTTTCTAGGCAGCTACTATAACAGGCTCTATATCCCTGCCGAGTATTCGATCCGATAAGAGCTTCTTAAGCGACACTATAATAGTAAGCTTGCCGGTTACTATAGTATAGAGAGGTCGTATAAGCTACTATCGCGTATATACTACTAGCCAAATAGTAAACGGGACACAAAAGAATACGTTAACACGTGTGCTATATATTAACGTATTAAGGCACTAAAGCATTAGCCTTTTAGCGAGTTGTCTTTACTACTAATCCCTAATAAGCTATTTGCAGAGCTTATAATAGATTTTATTATAGGTCTTCCCCCTACTAAACGAAGAGGAAGCAGAGACGTCTTTAACGCTATACTAGTCGTTATAGACCGATTTACTAAGGGTGCTCGCTATATTCCTGCTCGGAAGGATTAGACAGCTATTAATATAGCTAAAGCACTATAGAACAATATCTTCTATAGCTATTAGGGAACCCCTAAAGGGATAGTCTCCGACCGAGGCTCGACATTTATATCTTATTATTAGAGCGAGATATGCCTATAGCTAAGACTTAAGCATCGGCTATCTATAGCCTTCTATCTATAAACAGATAGCTAAACCGAGAGGCAAAATGCTGCCCTATAGCAGTACCTACGTAGCTATATTAATAAGAACCCTAACGACTAGGTTAACCTCCTATAACTAGCTAAATTCGTGTATAATAACAGTGTCTACTTATTAACTAAGGTCTCGCTATATATAGCTATAATAGCCTAGAACGCTGCTGTACTATAAGACCCCTTGTCGCTCGAGGCCGAGCGTAAGGAAAGGGAAGCGTATTAAGTACCAACCCCTAAGATACTAGCGGCTATTAAGAGGGTTCAAAAGATACGAGAAATTCACGCTAAGATAGCTAACAAACTAGCAAAGGCCTAGGCCTATTAGAAGGCCTACTATAATAAACACTACCTTCTAATAACCTTCCGGAAGGGCGATATAGTTATACTTAGTACGAAGAACCTACGTATCCGCAAATACCCCTCGCCCGATAGTAAAACAAGGCCTAAACTCGCACTAAGGTATATTAGCCCTTTCCGTATCCGAGAACCTAGGGGTACCTAGGCCTATTAACTATAGCTTCTACCTTATTACACTATCTATAACACCTTCTATATATCCCTCCTTAAGCCGTACTACCTACGCGAAGGGGATAAAGCGCCTACTAAATCTAAGGACATACTAGCTAATAGCGAAGAGCTATAGTCTATAGAACGTATTCTAAAGCACCGGACTAGACAAGGCAAGAAGGAATACCTCTTAAGATAGTAGGGCTATTTACCTAAATAGGACTCGTAGGAGGCTAAAGACTCCTTCGAGGATATAGCCGAGTTATTAGATAAGTATTAGACTAGCGTAAAGAACAAGAAGAAGGCTAAAAGCTCGTAATATTACTAAGGCTTAGGATTAATAGCACCCCCGGGGTACTATTAGCTAACTAATTAAAGGCCGGCAAACTAGGACAATAAGACTATACTAGGCGCGCTACGACGCGTTAATTAGTCGCTGCTCTTTTAAGGGCTCTACCTCTTGTTTATTTATTTCTAGAGCCTCGAAGCCTAGGCAATTAGCGGCGCGCGCGCGTATAAATAACGGTAATAAAGATAATAGTATCGCGCTACGAGCTAGCAGTATATTAGTAGCCGATACGGCTATATTAGTAACGGTATTACGGAGTGTATTGCTAGTTAAAGCATTGCTAGTTAGAAAAGGAAATAAAGGACAAGGTAAAGTTAGCGCTAAGACGGCTAGCGCCGCTATTACTAACATTACCTACTCGCCGCTATTGCTAACCTTACTTGTTATCGCTACTATACCTATAAAAACAATCTTACCTATACTGCGCTAACTAAGTTAAAAGATTAAGTTAATAGACTAACTAAGGGCAAAACTATAGAGCTAAGTTAGCTAGGGTCGATCTTGCGGATAATAGGTTACTCCTCGATCTTTCCGACCCTTTAAGCGAGGCGAACCTTAACTATTATACTTATAATAGCCTTTACTTATAGAAACTAGACGAACTGTGTTTTTTAAAAAGATAAGATAAGATTAACAATTAAAGGCTACTAAACCTAACTAATTAAGGCTAGCGAAACTACGATAGTAAATAATAGCCCTTATAATAATAAGAACAATCCCTTAGAAGCGGATAAACCCTCGGAAGCGGACATTTCTAGGTCTTTTAGAGTAGACGCAAAGAACTCGGGCAACCTTACTTAGAACGGGGGCAGTGCTATAATACCCCGTATACCTACCTATTATAGTAGGGAAGGTACGCTCGTATTATAATTAGTTACTAGCCTTTAATTTATATAGCTATATAACCCCTTATTACTATAAGCGATAGTAATAGCGCAGTTAGAAGTTAGACATTGTCGGAAGTAAGGTTTAGATAGAATAATATAATTAGTTAGTTAAGCGTTTAATTTAGCTTAGGAGCGAGTTAGTTATTAGACCTACTAAGTTAGTAGTAATAGAGGTTAAGATTAGAATATAGACCGGCTACGAGGGCGCGGCCTTTAGAAGGGAAGCGTATATTAGGACTAAAGAGGTTATACGTAATTAGTATATAACTAGGCTCGAGTAAAGCTAGGGTCTTAATGCCTTAGGCAGGGCTTAGCGCTTAGTAATAGGCTAACTCTCCTACCTTCCTCCCTCTCCTCCTAGATCCTTATTAAATACTACTTATACCTACTACTACCCTATCTACCTACTAATACAACCCTTCTTATATCTAGGTAACTATTAGTCTATCGCTTCGCTCGAATAGTAGTAAAAAGCGGAGGTTAAGTATAAGAGAAGTAAATAAATAGATATATAGGTACGATATAGTAGTTAGATTTCTCTATATAATAATACCTAAAGGACTCGAAAAGAGAGAGAGTAAATAAAGAGTTTTTATAGTATACTAAGCCTTATAAATTAGATACGTAGCGCTTCTAAGGAGCTTATAAATTAGTTATAAATTAGGGTTCTCTAATAGTATCCCTTCCTCCTTTAGTAGCGTACCCTAGGCTCCTTAGATAGTAGTTTATATAAAGTATATAGCTAAGAAGCTTACCGAGGCTAGTATTATTATTATAGATCTATAGCCTACTAGCTTACCTAATCTTAATTCTATAAAGAACTACTTTATAAAAGTAAAGGGCTTTATCTATAGCTAGCGGCTATCTAGCTAAGAAGAGGTTTAAGAGCGTATTCTAGCGGCATTTAAAGAGTTAATAATACTATAATATATTAGGAAACTTATTCGTAGTATACCTTAGTATATTATAGTAGCTATTACTATAAATATTAAATAGTAGTCTAATAAGGCTCTAGGTAGTGTCTGTAGCAAGAATAGTCTCTATAGTAGTCTATAGCAAGAACAGTCTCTGTGGCAAGAATAGCTGGTCTGTAGTGTGTATAGCGACAGTAACACCTTCCCTCGTCGACAAAATGGCCTGTACTAGTCAACACACAAAGTCTGAAAACCCCGGTAGCAGGCGGTTCGACAGTTGGGCCGCCGCCATAGCACAAGATTGGCAGGGAGTTGCCCATTTCCGGAACAGCGACAATACCCACTTTTCGGGCGGCTTCCCGTATGCATGCGACCCTCTGCAAGGTCCCACTACCGAAGAGAACCACACAGGCTACTGAGGCGAAGCCTCATATCAGATCTGCGATACCACAACTGCGAGTGGAAGGCTGAACATTCTGGTACGGATGCGGTACTACAGTTGTGGCATTAAACCGATGCGGTGAAGGTAGCTTCTCATACTTCCGCCTTGCAGACACCTCACGCAGCTTCAAGTTATGTCGAGCTGGTGAAACGAGCCCGAAGCGAGGCTGTTACGGGCCATACCCTGGAAGGATTTCCATATCGAGGTGCCCAAGCTTTGTGCTTCCGGACGTCACCTTGCAACTTCAATTGTGTGCAGAACTGAAGTTGCTCCCTGCACTGGCTACCTCCAAAATTCTTGCTATGCAGTTCCATGTAATGGCTATACGATGACTGCTTTTGAGGAGATTATGCATCACTTACCGGCTACCGCTATGCAGTGCATCCACAACCTGTATTGCCTTGTCTCCATGCCTGGTCTCTGGCAATGACTTCGTATTGACCGCACGGAGATCCTCGTTCGTACGTATGCACTCGGTCCAACATGCGAGAATCTCCGGCCATTAGACGGCTAATCAGCTTGGTCGGGAGGCTGGCAACAACATATAAGTAGACTACGCACCCACCGTGAGAGCACCACAGTTCTACGCTCGACATTCCAAGACAACCAAGCCTCTTCAATCCATCAAGCATCAACTCGTCCATCAATCAATATGCAGTTCAAGGCTATCGTTATCGCCCTGGTTGCGGTTGGCTCTGCTGTAGCCACCCCAATTGATCAAGCTGCTCAGGCTCCAGACGCCACAATGATGCTCAACGAGGCAGCCGCCTACGCTGCAGCTCATGTCGGCCAGGTTCCGGACTACGGTCTGATTCAGGCCGCCAAGGATCTCAAGGCTGCTCAAAATGGCTACCCATACTTCAGCCAACAATACGAGCCATTCCCGTGCTGCTTCGAAACCTGTTCTGCTCCAAAGCCATGGCGCTACTGGGACTACTTCAACGCCTACTGCTACCAGAAATGGCCAGCCAGTTACCCGGTCTGGGTCAGTCTTCTTCTGTGATACTCTCTGTGTGGTTCTTACGCTGACGCTTCGTTCAGAACCAATTCTGCTTCAGCCCTACCATCCAGATCCAGACCTGCAGTGGTCTTCTCGGCTGCCTTCTCTAACTGTGATTTGGGAACTGTGGTACTGACTAGGCTGAGGATCCTGAAAGAATGGTGGAGGAAATAGTGTTGGATGGTGACAAGAAATGACAGAGGCTTTTCCTATTCATAGAGTCAGAAGGGTCGGGACTGCGATGGAATCCCCACCACCATTTGTTAGCAATCTCTATAGTAATTGATAATCGTGTCTGTCTTTCCCAACGTTCTTTCTCGTACACATTGTCGCCATTTCAATGGCATAGACTACCTCGAGGTGTGGCACCCTACCCTTCGACCACCTACCGATTTCTACGAGTTCCTCGCTCTTGCTATACGTAGGCTTACCGGACAAGACAATAACCCAGTCCAGTACTGTTTAGACGACCTCTAGCCGCCGGAAGAGGTTGTGAAGCTATTACTAGCGGATAGACGAGGCTTACGGACGGCTATTTACGTGCGGATTAAGCGGTAGAAGGATATAGGCGATATATGATATATCTTGCCTGCACATCATCACCGCGCTCGAATGAATATAATCTCTGCGAATCGAAGTGTCAGGGAGACTTCGCGATCATACGAGGATGAAAGCTCGAGCGCGGCGGACGTTTCGAAAGAAAAAAAACGCCATCAATTTCGTTTTTTTTTTAAAAAGAAAACAGAAGAACAAAAAGAAGAAGCTTTCACAAAACCCTCCTTACAATAACTCTAAATCTGATACCTCCCAATCCTATTATTCGCAAATTCCGTAAACCACATACTATCATCGCTGCGTTCGTAATGCATAGCGATATCCGCAGCAGGAGGCAAATCCGGAAGGAGAGAAGGAGCCAAACTAACATCAGCATCAGGTTGCTTAATGCTTGTGAATTTTCCGGTAGAGGGGGTGAGGTAGTTGAGGGAGTTGCGGAGGAGGGTGGAGAACCAGATATTGCCGTTGCTGTCGACGGTGTCCTCGATCGGGGTAGCGAGGAGTTGGGGAAGGGGGAAAGCTTTGGAGGTGAAGGTGTTAATGTCGAAGCGTCCGAGGGAGTTGGTTGCGAGGCATGTGAACCACAGGTAGCGGCCTTCGGTCTCGGCGCGCATGACGGTTGGTGTAGCGAGGGTGAGAGGGAGTTGCCATTCGTCGATTTTGCCGGTAGTGGGATTGAGACGGGCGATTTTGTTGGCGAGCATTTCTACGAACCATAGGTTGCCGTCTGAGGCTACGATCATGCCAAGGGGTCCGGCGAGGGGAGTTGGGACATCGAATGTCTTGATCGCGTTGGTTTGGTAGTCGATGAGGTTGATGACATTCCCGGTGGTCTGGGAGAAGAACATTCCAGTTTCGCCGGGCCAGGCATCGTTGAAGGGCTGAAGGTTACCTAGAGGGTTTCCAGTCTCGAGCACAGTCACGCTGTTGTCTTTCGGGTCGAAGATGGCGAACTCATTCCGAACTCCTGTTGCGGCATAGATCTTTCCGTTCTTTCCTGGCTGGACAACACAGGCCCCCGCGACGCGGCCTTGGGCGTCGCTGGGGAGGACGGAGTATCCGAGAACGGGCAGCGTGTATGGGATGTCGTACTCCTTTAGTTGTCCGGTTGAGCGGTCGATCTGCACGATCTTGTTCGCGGTGAAGGTATCCGCCTGCAGGAAGCATTAGCCAATGATTCAGTTCTGAAAGGACGTCTAACAGCTTACATAGATCTTGCCATCTTGACCGGTCGTTAAATCGCAAGGCGATGCGAGTGGCGTTGTCAGGTTGTAGTACGTGAATTTAGATGCTTGTCTCTCGACTGGCGAAGCATATGCCGCCGTCGCCAACAGCGCTGCACTTACAATGTAGCTCTTCATCTTTGAGAATCCGTCCTCCTGGCCAGCGAATGTTCCCCGGAAAAGAGGAGCACGATGAGGGAGGTGCCCCGGACTGAGCAGATCGACAATACCTTATAGAGACCCGTTCCCAGCAGAGTGTCATGATCAGCGTAGTTCGACACTACGGTTATGGCGGTAAAAGCATTTACTGTAGTGCATTGGCTTATTGGTCCTTGGCTTCAGGACTTGCTGCTCTTAGTATAGCTTCATAAGCTTGCAGTACATAGTAGTTGCGCGAAATAGACGCGATCTTTAAGCTTGACTAAAGAAGAGCGCTACCAATGGCCACTGACATAGGGTAGTTTCGTCAGTCCTGCCAAAAACTTGGTCGATACCTCTCTCATCAAGTGTAAGCCCTTCATCCACTACCTGTGCATTGCTCCATCCTCTGCCTCTTACATCGAATACTGAGACACCATCAGCAAGCGCGCCGAGGAAGTGGAAGGTCGTATGCAGCTGCTGGAAAAGAACAATGCGAAAAAGCCGGAGGTAATGATAAGTAGAGTTGGTCCTTGAATGTCGATCACTACGGAGCTCCTAAGCACTTGTGGAAAGTCTCATATCGGCATAAACGGTGCCAGTGCTATTCTAGTGCCACAGCAGCAAGCAATCTCTCATCTCAATTTCTCAAGATTAAAAAAAAAGCTCAAAATTTTGGTCAACAGAGAATAATCAGTAGGTAAAAACAATACTCTCCATCCGTCGCAGGAGTATCCTCGCCATAGAGAAAGGCCTAAGCTTAGTCTAATAAGCTTAATCCTGCCCTTTCCTGAAAGGTCTGTCTGCCGGCATAGACCGTAGACGGCAAATCGATCGCGGAAATATACGAGGACCTTCGCGAGGCGCGAGGCTATACCATCGATGCCACAGTCGTTACGTTACGTCCTCTCTACTATGTGCTATATAATACTCGCGGGGGTTGAAACTTAAAAGCCGAGAGGAAAATTCGTATATTAGAAAGTAGGAAGGGAATAATAATACAGTAGAAGCATCCGAAAAGGAGTTAATTCGATTCGATTCTATAAGCTAACAAGACACCCGAAATGCCCTAATAAAGAGGCTTTAATACGTAAGCGTCTAAGTTAGTTATTCCTTCCCTCCCTCCCTCTCTTACGCGCTAAAACTGGCATTAAGTGTACCCTATCTCTACTTAGACTAGTAACAAAGGGTTGTTAGTATATCTGTGTAATTTAGCTTAGCTACTATAAGCTACTATAGAAATAAACTCCCGTACAGACTACTATAATACCCTTTATTACTAGTCTAATCCGCTTCTATCGGGTTTTAGTACGCGTATATAGATAAAGCGACCCGAATTTTTTTTTCGAAGAAAGAATACGTAATACCTAGACCGAAATTCGAAAATCCGCTATAGTAGCGACCTAGATAAATACTTTATATATACTAATTACTATTTTTTATTCCTTAGACAATAGCCCCGGTTTAGGAAAATCGAATATAATCTAAAAACCGAATACGCTCGGCTATATAGAAGGCTACTCTATACCGCGACGATAAGAATATATACTATTTAGACCGTAATTCGAAAAAATACTACTAAGCGGGCCTAGATAATTATATTATCTAGAGCCGCTACTATATATTATATATTAATTCGTATTCCTCGACGAGTGCTTCCTTAAAAGGGGAAAATCTATATAAATAGCTAAATTGCGATAGAAACGGCCTAGACTAGAGATAGGATGTCTATACACTAAACGCTAATTAGCTATACGCTATACCTTAGCTATATACTATACTATACCTTAGCTATATACTATACTATATATATATATACCCTAAAATACTCTTAAATAATCCTATCTCTAGTCTAGTCTCGAGATAGAAGTGTACCTATTCTAATTCAGGCTAATTCGTTTTACGCTCCCTATTCTAGTTATCTCTTCTTTCTTTCCCTACCGAAATGATAAATTTCTCTCTCATCAAGTTTTCTGCGTCGCAAAAAATCCATACGTACATACATACACTCGTAACCTTTATTCTCAATTCACTTGCCATATTCAATAGCCTCTACTCCCTCTCCAGCTCTTCTACGCATACGCATAACCCAAACCACCTTCGTCGTATTATCCGTCTCATTTCGGAATCGACCGGGCGGGTCACTCCATGAAATACAGCAGCAGCAGCAGCAGCAGCAGCAGGCAACGGCTTCCTCTTCTCGCCCTCCCTCTCCAACCCCATCATCTCCCTCACCTCCTCAAAAAACCAAACCCCAACATTCATTCCTCTCCTCTCCTGTACCCCGGCCGGTCTGCTCCACGAAAGCCCTCCTCCCATCCCCTATCCTACCTAGTAGCCTTTCCTAATCCCTTGAAAAAAGAAAACCTCACCAAATTTTTCCTCCACCTACTCGCAAAAAAAAAAAAGGCAAATTTCCTCGAGAGCTTGGGAAAAAGTGTAAGAAGTTATTACTGACTACAACCGAGCGAAAAGATTTGGATGGTTGTGTGTGTGTGTGTGTCTTATGCGCGGTGGGTTCAGGGAAGAAAATCTCGTCCTCTAGATAGAGTGAGGCCGGACTGATATATATGGGGGGTTGAAAGAGGAAGGTCGCTCCCGTACAGTACCCTCATCTCAGCATTCGACACAGCACGCCATGAGGTGGATGATAGCGAAGATACATAAAACGCCATACAATCAACAAGCCAAACCTACCACCCACCTTACCAAAAAAAAAAACTCCATTCAATAAATCAATGGTAATCATCGCCTCACCCCCCAACCCCAAAACCCTCATCACTTCATCAACCCCTCCGTAACTTCCACCCTCCCCTTAACAATCCTCCCAAACTCCCCCCTCACTTCAAAAGGCGCAACATGTCCCAACCCCTCAAAAATCTCCACCTCAATGCCCCCCTCCTTCCCCCCGAGCTCCTCAATCAGCATCTCCCCATGCACAAACGGGATCATCCGATCCGCCGTCCCATGCAAAACCAAAATCCTCTCCCTCCCGATCCTGTCGCCCAGAGTTTTGATTTGATCCGAAGATTTCTGGTGGAAAGCAGCGGCGTAGAGTTGACAGAGGAAGCCCGTCGGCGTGAACATGTCGGGAGCGAGACGTTTGCTGAGTTCGCCGGCGGCGAAGCGGTCGCCGTTTGTCGGGAATGGGGAGATGATGGATTCGGTTTCGTCGGGTTTGGAGAGCCATTCGGCGCTGTAGCAGTCGGTTTTCACTTTGGCGAGTTGGTTGTCGAGGGATTTTGGGAGGAGGAGGTTGATGCGGTTGCGAAGGTTTTCGAAGAAGGGGAGGGTGCGGATGATGCGTGGGGCTGTGGATATGAGGTTTAAACTGCAGATGCGGTTTGGGATTTGTAGGGCCTGGGGTGGTTTCGTTAGTCGTTTCTTTTCTTTTCTCGGGTTACTTGCCGGCCTTCAGTCACCAGTTCTTGTGAGATCATGCCACCCATTGAGATACCAACAACATGAACACTCCTGTCTTGAGTCCAGCCCACATGATCAAGGAGTTCCACAACATCCTTGGCCATTTCCGAAGTCGTGTATCGCAGAAGAGGCTTATCACTTTCCCCCATGCCTCGATTATCAAACACCAAACAACTATACTTGTCAGCCTCGGTGTGGCCAAAATCCTTGGTTTGGCGCTGCCTATGGACGATCGATCAGCGATCAGCCATGTAAACCTATGTGCAAAAAGAAAAATATCCCGGTCATCTCGCTTCCGTACCATGTCTTCATGAAGCCACCAAGGCCCATAATCCACTGAGAGATCGCGTCAGTCATGCACAGATAAGCTCGCAGCTGGCAGGACGTATCTTACAATGATCTTACTCGGGCCACGACCATGAATCTCATACGCAATTTTGAACGGACCGCCTCTGCCTTTAGCAACATCGACCTTCCCTTTCTCATCCGGCTTCAAATCCCAGTGTGCGTACGGGTACTCAGGATGAGCGAGGACCTCAGCAGCCGTCAAAGGTTTTGGACCGAGGCCTCCATGTGCCTTTTCGTGAGGAGGAGCGCGGGCGGCGGCCGGACTTCTGAGAATGTGAGTTTGATACTTCTCGACGAGAATTTCTGCCCAAGTCGGATCTGTGCTGACTGACGCCATGCCTTGGAATCCGTTTTGTTTCCTCTCTCAAGGCGTAAGAGTTGTGCGAGATGCGGGTCGGCTGAGTGTGTCGGCTATCGCGACCGTGCTCGTGCGCTGGCACTCACGATAAGAGCAGCTTATCACTATCTTGGCACCGTTGAAGCGGTATAAATGATTGCAAGAGTCCATCAACATGTTTTGCACAGAGGCGGAGAGACAGTGACGATTTGTCTCTCGTTCTCGTGCTGACGGCATTTTAGACTTTGGTAGTCCACGCGAACGGGTCAAGCACGTGTCCACAACCACCGCGAAAACACAACGGCCAGTTTTCCAGAATATGGACAATATGACGAAGCATAAAAGAGAAGAACACGGAGCATGGTAATCTTGCACAGGAGATCGAACAGTATCCTATCCTATCCATCCTATACAACAAAAAACATTCAAGCCGTCGCCGCACTGGTATCATCGCAAATCAAAAAAAAGCCAAAGACGGACGCAACCTCAGTCAATCAATCCCGTGGCGCATCATCAATCATGAATTGGTAAGTAGAAAGTCGATTCGGCGTTCCAGTCCAACCCTCCAAATCATCTTGCTCGGTAATGTTTGGTAACATCATGAGGGAAGGCTTTTGTAAAGAGGAGCCTCTCAAAGGAATCCAAAATCGACTCATACTCGCAGCTGGAAGTTCGTAGTAGAAGGTCCCGTACATCGCAATGCAGCTTGGTGGAGTGCGTCGAAGCATCGCGGACGCATTTGGGGTTAATGGCCAATTGGTATCGCCGAAGTCGTCTGGTGAGTCTGTGAGGAGGGGATGGAGGACTGAAGTGAGCATTTCCGTTGGCTCTTCGTTGGAGGCTGGTCGGGGTGTAGGTCGTCGCAAGATTTGTGCGTGCGAGCTTGGTGGGGTTTCATTCAGCAGGAAACAGGAGAGCCCGCTTCGATATGGATGTCTAGACGGGGCTGGTGGGACAGAGCCAGACCTTCGAGAGTCTCGATTACTAAGGAGTTCCTGAGAATCGATACTCCTAGCGCTTAGATCATCTTTCAAAGAAGAGTTGGCGGTGCTGCTTCTTTCAGAGCTCGCTCTCTTCAAAGATGTTCTGCCTGACCTTCTGCTAGATTCTGCAGGGTCGGCTCTCAAGAATTTGGAAAGATCGCGCACGTCACCAAAGTCTGCGTTTGCGGTCCGAGGCTTGAGGCCATGTCGTGCCGGGAGATCTCTGATGCATTGGGATAGTTCTTGTACAGAGTCTCCTTGGACACGAGCCTCGCGGGGAGCTAAAGCGGCTCGACGTGCAGCCATATACTCCGCAGCTCGCTTCTCTGCATTTCGTGTGGAGAATCGACGTAGTGGTGTTATAATCTTTGACGCTCGTGAAGAAGGTCTCTCCGCTTTGACATCGCCAAGCACCGTTACAACCGGTGTGTTTACGACCGGCTCGATGTCTGATTGAAGGACTTCTGGGTCCTCTGCATGGGTCTGCTCACCCTTGATTGGAAATTGAAGCGCTTTCAACTCTATCTCCGGAGTTGGGAGCTCGTCGACGGGCGATTCGCTTCCTTCTGATAGTGTCGGCAGACTGCCACTATCGCTGCCTCGTCTTGGTCTCAGCGAGGTGGTCGTGCTTCCTGCTGTCCGACCCGGTGCTTCGAAGAGAGCATCAGCAGGGAAGGAAGCCAGGACAGCATTGATATTCGACAGATCGCTATCGAATACAAGGAGGTCTTCTCTGATTTGTGACGTCCAAAGAGTGAAGTCGAAGCCGTGCTGCGCAAAGTTCAAGTTCGGTCCTTGCATAACACTCAGAGCAGCCCTGAAGCAGTCCTCTCCTTTGTCGAAGTTTTCCAGTTGGAACTCGACATGGCCCATGATAAATAGGGTTAAAGCGAGGGTCTCATCGACCCGCTTTGCCTCTTGCAAGACCTGCGCTGCGATTGTGTAGTCGCCGAGTCTAGCGAAAATGATGACAGCATTGAGCAAGCAGAATGTGCTCTGAAGATCTTGTTCGATGACTCTTGACAAGTATAAGAACGTCTCAGCCTAATAGGATTTTAGCCTCGTGATTGCGTGAAATGTTTCGCCGGTACCAGCTTATGAGTGGGACTTACAGCCTCTTGCCATTCGTAACCGTGGTACAGCAAGGCTCCATGCTCCCACAAATCGATCAGCTCCCGAGACAAGTTATTCTTATTATTGCCCATGTTGGTATAAATTCGTGATAGCCTTCCTGGATGCTTTGGAGGTATTGCGGGAGCAATAGCAATGTCTGTTGGCTCCGCCATTTTTCTAGACAGGTGCGATCGGAGACGCCGGTGAATAGCAGACTGTGGTGCAAGTGATTGCCCTTATGTCTACGTGCACCCGTGCATGCGGTGCTCTGCTCGGTCGGCTGAGTCCGAGGTACTTAGTGACGTGGGCGCTGGGCCAGGCGGCTCTCCGCCAGCCACGCGATCCCACAAGTGAAATGGCTTCACGCACCAACGACGCCAGGGTCAAGGTTTCACGGAGCGCACTTTCGGACAAGAAGCAACAAGAAATACCTCATATTCAGGAAGTCCGCTGTCTGTGACGAGTTGAACATGTGTGAATGCAGTAGACAAGGCATTCTCGGTATCTTGACGCTCGGAGGAATGAACAATCACTAAGGCTTGCTCAAGCGCGCCGGAGACGCTGTAGGTCGAGCAGTACTCGGCGACCAAATGCGTGTTTCGTGGATAGACAAACAAGAAGGCTTCTGCAAAGACGGCATCCGGATGCAAAGCTGTTGTCGAGGGTACTCGAAGGACAAGATGGGTGGGAAGATACAGCACCTCACAAGAAGGCACCTCCACTCCAAAGATGCGAAGTGAATGGCGGCTCTGACGAAGCAGGTGGTTTTCTAGAAGGCCGGTGCCGCATCCGATCTTGATTGGCAGTCAGTACAAGGCTTGACGAGGGGCGCATGGCGTGGCATGGCATGTTAGGTGGTGTTCGTCAGGCTTGCTCGGAGTTCAAGAGTGGCGCGACTCTTGTCGAGCACTGGGTCCCCATTGAGCAAGGGTCACTTTTCTCCGTAATGACGCCAAGCACAATGGGATTGAAGCTTCAGATGGACATGTTGCTGGTTGAGTGGCGGCCGTTGGTTGTTGGTGAATTGTGTGTGCGAAGAGGGAGAGCACAATCATGGCTTGATGGCGCTTCCAGAATGCAGAATGCAGTGCTTCGGAGAGAGGCGGCGCTAGCAAGAGAAGAGGAAGGAAGGAAGGAGCTCGGGAGAGGCTGGCGGTGGGGAGGCGGAGGCGGAGGCGGAGGCGGAGGCGGAGGCCACGAGCGCACGAGGCTGACGTGGAAAGCCGACTCACCGAAAAGACAAGCGAAGGCGCGCTGGGCAGTCGCGTGATGATTTCGTGAATCAGGCGAGAGCTGAGAGATGCACAGCAGCCGGGAAGCTGCTGAGGCTGCTCGCTGAGCTCGTTCCGCATGCATCGTATCGTCGTGGGCATTATTGTGGTGGAGGAAACAAGAATGAGTCACCACGCCATGCAACGCCAGGCCCAGGCGTTTCATACAGGTGCTGAAACACTTTGATGGTATGCAGCGCGTTTCAGGCCTGATGGCTTGGCGGTGGGTATGTTGCATTCCATTGCATTGCATGAAGAGATGTTTGATGGAAGTACAAGAAACAGTAGTTTCGTTCTCAATCTTTCGTCGCTTGCCAGTCGCAAACTGACCGGGCAAAGGTATGGGACGAAAGTACGACCAATGTCCAGGTGAGACTCAGCTGGCGATGAACTGCACCTCCACGCTTTCGGTAGTTCAAGATGTGACGCAAGGCCCAGGACAGTATTGCCTACGACTGTCCTTCACCATGATCATTATTGACGCTGGCAGCCGACCATCGGAGAGTAGTAACTTAGTGCAACACGGACGGCTGATGACGGCGGCAAGACGGAAGAGAGTTCGTGAAGACTTCGCCCCCACGCTGACGGCGTCGGCGGAGAGAGCGAAGTCACGCGGCGAAGACCAATGCACGCACTCATGTGCCTTCTATCATGGGACCCGGACACCTCAAGCCCTCGCACTCGCCGAGATCAACGTGCATTCACGTGCGAGCCGCCACGCCACAGGCATCGCCTCACGCTATATACGCGACGCGACGCCACGCTACACTTTAGGCTTGCAGCGTGCATCATCAGAGCTGCAGAAACCGGATTCACTGACACTCACCTTCGCCCGCGAGAAAGTGCAATTTCTGATTTCTGCCATCTGACCACAGCGCTCGTATGCCGCATGCGAGAGAATGTAGAATGTTTGCTGGTTGTATCGGTAGGCGCTCGTGCTACGCTTCACATCGGACCCTGTTTCCGTTTCCATGCGTACCTTTGAGGCTGCGAAGCTTGTCGTGAAAAAGTCGCCCTCCCACCTGTCATTGGCGGCTGAGCAAATAACGCTTGTGCCCATGCAAAATAGCGTGGCTGTAGACGGAGCTCCCGTGTCTGACGCATGCAACGACATCCAACCATCCGCTTCTCCAGCATGGCCACCAAATAATGCACTGCGACGAGCACGACGAGCAGCGATCCGGAAGGCGTGGGAACACATCCACCCGCGCACCCCTGACCTGACCTGACCTGGCCTGACCTGACCTGAACAAGACCGAACTGCCAGCATCTGCTGAAGCCACCGTTCGCCGCCGTGAAGGGAAGGCTCTTCGAGAACGCCAGGCCACCGCAGCCTGCCTGCGCCTGCAAGAGCTTCCGACACCACCCAGCTGATGATGATGAGCGAGCATGCATCTGCATATGTTTCAGAGGACATGAGCTTGACCGTGAGGTGAGCGGTATCTTGCTTCAGGCCGGCCTGTATCAACTACTCGTGCCAATCCAGGAAGTAGACGAAAAGCATCCCGGAGCAGATGCCTGATGTGTCAACCACCGGACCAAGCGCTGCCGCTGCTGTAACCTTACAGAATACAGAAGATCGCGCGCTCATCTCGGCCTCGGAGATCACAATACTCTGCCTACTGGTGAATGTAGAGGAACGCGAGCAAAACATGTCTTCGACGTGAGAGAGAAGTTCAAGCTAAAGCGGCATGTCGCTGAGCTACTGCATCCAGCTGCATCTTTTGGGGACACCATCTCAGCATGCATAAAAAAGTGGCGCAGTCGCCCAGCTTATTAGTCGGAGCTGCTTCGTGCTATAAGTCCTCTGTTCTGGCCGCCCCCGCAAGTCACCCTCCCATCACCTCGCCGCCCTGCGCCAACCTCCCATTCGCCGCCGCCGCCGCCGCCGCCAATATCCTCCATCTTCTATCCTCTTTCCCAAGGCGCACCCTCTAATACCAATCGTTACCTTCTACTCTGACACATATTACGTCGCTTTTTCTTTCATTCTTGTCCCACCTGTGACGTCCACACGTCGTCCACATATCGCATCGCTTACATCATCCATTGTGTCGGGAACACATACTTCAACCGAACCCTATTCTTTTGCCATGCCGGTGCAACTACTACCGGCCTCTGCCCAGGCCTTTGCGCCTCGATCAGGTCCAGAGATCGTTCTCAACGCCAAGGTTGAGCCGTGGTTGACCCAAACGTTGAAGCGCGTCAACAAAGTCAAGCGTCCTCTCAATAGCGTTCCACAGCATCACAGATGTCTTACCGAGACATTAGGTGGTTCTCTTGCCATGTGGACGCTCGCATCACTCATGCTTCCAAAGGCCCCCGACTCCGAGCTTCGCAGGGACTCAAATCCTCTTGTCGAAGCATTGTTCAATCATCAACTCATTCACATCGAAGCATATGTCGTACATGTCGATATGGTTTCGCAGCATGAAGTGGCATTCAAGCTCACACCAGAGACGATCGAATGCTTAGTCGAGTACCACAAGGACATCTACTCAATCGACGCCTCCGCAAGTACCTGGAGTTGGCCCGAGAAGGAAGCGCAAGTCAAGAAGATGCACGAGGAATTCGTTCAGGCCGCGAACAGATTCGTCTTCGGAACGTCTGTCCGTGCGCTGGAAGGAATGGAGGAGGACGGTGCCGGCGAGCTGCTCGAAGGTCGATCCGAAGACGTGAAGAATGCGATCATGAACTTGTTTGTCCCACTTCTTCCACCACCACCGAGGATCGTCGATGTCATTCACCCAGCGCCAATCATGCCCAACACATCGATGCCAGGCAGCTGGTGGGCACCAGCACCACCTCAGCTTCAGCTTGCATCGAGTCACCCAGCTCCAGTCGACTCCTGGAAGGTCCTCCCATCGACGCCTTCGCCAACCGTAACAACATGCAGTGACAATCAGTCCAACACATTCTGGCATGACATGTCAATGAGCAACGTGCAGCTACCCTCCCCAACCCCATCCTTCAGTCAGCCATACACATCGGCACCATCGCAATACTACAGCTCACCGCAAAGCATTGCTCCAGTACCGGTATCGAGCAGCATGCCGTACCACTGCGGCTCTGACATCGGCATGGCCGGCTTCAACGACTTCGGCTGGAGTTCGCACGGCGCTTTCAGCACCCAGTACGCAACCGCCGTATGATGAGCCCATCCCCAGCGATGCGCGTAGCTCCACCCCCTCCTCTCCTGTCGTGCGTTTCTTTCTCCGGTGTTCTGGCCAAACCCGGTAGACTCTTTTCCAACCACTCTGGATCTCCCCCATTCCTAGGATTCGAAGACACAAGACCTGAATTGCGCACAGGTAATTCTTCCCGACATACATGCGACCACGACTTCTATACAATAATGTGATGCAATGCCAAAGCGATACCCCCCGATGTTGATCATCACGCAACATCTGATATCACAACCAAGGAGAACAAGTAACCTCATCATATGGACGGCGTTCTGTTTTGACATTAGCGAGCGAGCGGACTGTCTTCCCCCTTTTTTTTTTCTTTTTCTGGATTCTGGAACTTTGTAACGAGGTTGATGTCTGCATTGCATCATCCCTGGGAGGCATGCACTGCACAAAAGAGGGTTTATCAAAGAGGGCCTCACGGTCACAGTTCGCGAAGATGAATATGGGGAACAACTTTTTTTTGACGTTTATGGGTGGATGACTTTTGCTTTTTGCATGCGAGCGAGCGAGCGAGCGATCTGGATTTGGAGGCTGGGTATAGACTACCCAGCGCGAACGCGTACACGCCTTTTACGATCATCTGGAATGACTCACTCAACAACACCTTTCGCTTCTGGAAAATCTTTTTTAATGCCCTGCGCGAAAGAGCTGGTATCAGGAGAAGGTGTTTTACATGCCATTTGTCCCCGAAGCCCATCGTACACTCCGGTCTCGGGCCATCATCACCCAGACAGCGGATACGATGAGGGGATGAAGGACATTTGGCACGGGGCCTCTTTTTCTTTCTGATTTTCCCAAACTCTTCTTGCGACGGCGATGGACTTGATCCTGGTTTTTGATCAACTGGTTGCGCCATTCGACCGACGAGGCAAACAACAAACTTTTTTTTTCTCTCTCCAATTGAGCGCTGGAGCGTTTGATACTGTCTCCGCCTCGAATTAATATGACTTCTTTCCACACCACACCTACAACGACAACAACCATCCATCATCGCCATCCTGGACGAACCCCGAGATTACCTGAGCATTCATCACTTGCTCTGCAAACCATACCTATACTGTGTATACGGATGGGATTTCCGAAGCTTTGTTTCCGAACGCGAGTCGGGAGGAGGTAGACGCTGCTTCGAGTGGGTTTTTTTTTTCGTTCAAAAGATGTTTGACGGGTTGGCTTTGGGGTCGCCTTCACTGGCCGTACCCGGTGTTTATGGAAAAGGTCAGAACAATAGTGTTTCATCCTACTATTTCTCATCTTGCTGCTGGTCAGGTTGGAGAAAGTCCTGTTGGCGCTTGATGCGCCGGACAAAAGGATGCGTTTTCTTCCCGTCCCGTAGAATTGCGGAGGAAGGAAATGGCCTGTGGCTAGTTATATTGTCATCGTGGATTGGATATTCTTTCCGTAGTAACAATGTACAAGGAAGACTTGTGTATTGGCATCTTTGGTCACAATTTTCTTTTCACGTTTGTATTCTAGTGTCTCCGCGGCTGACTCGAAAGGAGCGATCCGCTATGCTTACATGCCGTCGTGCGCTACAGGCGAGGAGCGTCCACGATAAGGCATCTCGTCCCGTCGTCCAATAAGTATGTCGTGTAGCATTGGTGGTCGATGAGAGAGGGGTCAAGCAAGGTGCATGTGAGAGCGAGGCCTGCCGGTACCAGCAGCCAGCCGCCAACCAACATCGTCATCTCTGCCAAGCTCCACGTGCTGAGGCCGCTTCTTTGTGTTGCATCGGTCGGTCGGCGAGGCGCAGATATCGGCGCAAGCACTGGATGCTCAGCGAGTTGACCACAGTCTCGTCTCGAGATTATCACCCGCGCGCAAATTAGAAGGAGCAAAGCACGACCCAATACAATATGCGATAAGTAACAGGGAAAGCGGAAGCACCGACTTGCCCGCGATGCCTCCACCGAGCAGTCCAACCATTGTAAGTCTTGCCGTCTGGATCGCAATTGCAGTGCGAAGACGTGGCCCTCCCTGATAGTGCCGAGCTGACACCAGCACTCGTATCCAGAGGAGTCCGCGACGAGCAGCCAGTCCGATAGAATCAGCACCGCCGCCGCCGCCGCCGCCCGATCCACGTCCGCTCACTCCATTGTCCTACCTCAGCTCACCCGTACCCGATCTCGCCTCTACACTCCATACCGTGAGTGACGATGTGGATGAAGCCAACGTGAGCTTTTTGCGAGATTCACTGGAATCCTTGGACCGGGCAGAAGTGAACAGGAATAGTAGCCGCCAAGATAGACAGAATCAATCACATGTGGACACGAGGAGAGACCCACGTTTGAATCGAGCGAGCGAGCGTAGTGGGACCCAGACTCCCGCCGAGACGCTGGACGACTCTTCGCGGCGGGAAAGGCTGCAGAGAGTGCTTGCCCGACTGAACCGCATTCACGATCCCGCTGCTTCGTCAGCATCAGCATACAGCAACCGCACACCATCCCCGAATCGCCAGTCCTTGTACGACTGGGCTCCGTCACATGACGAGACAGCACGAGAGGACGAGAGTGAGCTCGATCAGATTCTCACGGAGCTACGCCGGCAGCAACCTGATACGCACCCGGATATTCTACGCGTGCTCAGCCAGAGTCAGCTGGATGCGGCACGCCAGCGCGATAGAGACTCGCACGTGCCCTCTACCACTGACTTGACCGATGCCGCTGAAAGAAGAGACCGGCTTAGGGAGCGGAGACGGCGGGAGAGCGAGTGGGTGAGCCTGAGAAGTAGGGCTGTGTTGCAGCGTGCGAGGCAGGAAAGCTCGCCGTCAGCCACGGAGCGCATGCTGAGGTACGTCATGGAGAGAGAGCGAAGCGGTATGAGTGAAGAGGAAGAACGCGCACGGGGGACAGGCTGGGTCAGTCCAAATGCCAATGGTAGTGGAAGTGGCAGTGGTAATCGATCTGGCGAGCAACACAGAGCAAGCACTCCAGCAAGCAGAGAGTCATGGCCTTTGCCTCCATCCGCGAACGAGCTGCGTACCAGGACTATGCAGGAGCGAGCGGAAGCCATGCAGAGACGATATATGACCGAAAATCCGCCTCCTCCACGACTTCCGCGAATATCGACTCCTCCAGTGCCCTCGAGCTCCACGCCCTCGAATTCAAGCCCGCAATTTCTTGAGAATGCTTTGAAGTATCTCAATCAATTGCGGAATTGTTATACCTACGAGTCGGCTCTTTCAGCGGCAATTGATCATGGATTGGCTACAAAGGAGTTCTTCGCCGACAAGCACGACGACTTCGTGATGGATCTTACGGAACTCAACCCTGTCGCGGGCTCGTCCTGGCTACAACCAGGCACAGTGTTTGAAGGACACCAACACGCTACGAATGGCAACACTGGCTTGCTACAATCCAGATCAAGTTCCGCTTCTCATTCCATCGAGCAGATCAACCCCAATTACCGCAATCAGGGCGGAGCCACTACGACAGGATTCGACCACCCACCAGGCTCAACGCGAGTAACACCCTTCGACGCCACCCGGCCGTGGCTCTCCCATCAACTCGTCCCCCCAAATCCAAGCACTCTCTCGCCCAAACCCCCAGATCCCTCTCACGACCGCTGGCCAGTACGAGTCATCATCCACTCCATCGACGAAGAAAGAATGTCCCTCCAAGGCACAATGGAAGCCTACGACGTCCCCCAACACCCCGCCGGCATCTCCATCCTCAACACCTCCTCCGACCGACCCAAAGCCGGCAAAAAACACGCCCCCATCACCACTTATCTCGAAGGCCACATCATCGACCTCCAAACCCACTCTTTCCTCACCCCCAGCGCCGCAGATACCAAACGCCACGGTCCCCACCCCACATCTCCCGAAAACTCTACCCCTTACACCACCCTCTCAGATACAATCTCCTTCCCTTCCGCCAACGCCCACACCGACGCTGCCAATTGGCGTAAACTCCCACCCTTCAATTCTCTGACTTCCGACGAAGAAACCGCCAGGATTTTTCTTAGTCAGGCGCATATGAATGAGATTGGGAAGGAGTATGTGTTTATGCGGTGGAAGGAGAAATGTTTTGTTCATCATCATGATTCGAAGGAAGAGGAAGAAGAGAAAGCAACAACAACAACAACAACAACAACGGGTTTGAGGGATGGTGCTGGGGATGCGGATCGTGGACATGGATTGACGATTTCGGGGTTTTATTATGTCAGTTTGAAAAGGGGGGATGGGGAGGTGCAGGGTTTGTATTTCGATCCGACGAGTACGCCGTATCAGTGTTTGAGATTGAGGGGGAGCGGGCGAGGGTGGGGGGTTTATGAGTTTCGGTGATTGATCATAAGGAATTATAAGGAGGAGGAGGAGGAGGGGAGTGGGAAGGTGAGGTTATGATATTGTCGTTGGATAAAACATTCACTGTTCACCTGTGCAATGAACAACTTTACTGTTATTATGGTTTTTTTTTGTGGGAAATCATAATGTATGACTCTCTCTCTCTCTCTCTCTCTCTCTCTCTCTCTCTCTCTCTCTCTCTCTCTCTCTCTCGTGGGTGGTGGATGGATGGATGGACGGACGGATTGATATCATGGATGTACTACTGTGGACGACTCTTTCTTCCTGTCTCTTGAGAAGTTTCTTTTTCTTCTTTTTTTTTTGTGCCCCAAGCTTGCTTGCTTTGCCTTCAAGTTTGATTTTCGGGGGGGTTTTCATTCCATGAATTTTTTTCAATTTTGTTTTTGTGAGAATATATATGGAAACGGAAATTTTTTTGTTGGAGGAATGAATTGAATTGAATTGAATGATAATAAATTTCATGAATTTTTTTCCCAAGGTGAGGTGGCAGAAAGAAAAGAAAAGAAGATGATTGTTGTTTTTTTTTTAAATTTATTTATTTATTCCGGTTACTACTGCAAGTTGAGGATCGAGTCGAATTATATATGATGCATTGCATGGCATTTCTTAGATGCTCGAAAGCTTGGTTGGATGCATGATGGATGCGAGTGGAAGGAAATAGGAGAGAGTGTTACGGAATGTAAGGTGCAGAATGGCGTTTTCCCGAATCTATGTATTCCGGTCACAGAGCATTTGCCAGCGCGGGCTAACATGACTGTACACCAAATGCAAAAAAAAAGTGCAGCACCCCTTGATTGTCTGGACAGCGACGGGCCTCAAAAACCGTGCTTTTCTTTTTCAGACCATGTCATTTTCGCCATGCGTTCTCCCCAAAGCAAAAGAGTTCGCTGCTAAATGCCATTCATTGTTCGTTCCTGTCGCTGAGTTTTTTTTCTCTCGTATGCGTGATGTGATCCCACCGCGAATCTGCTGTGTCGGTGGAATTGTCCAGTTTTCACGTACGAGTTCGTAGTGTTGGCGACTTCGTCTATTGCTCGGTCTGGAAGTAGTTGAGAAGGATGCTACGCTCCTGTGACTCCTCACCCCAGTCCTTGACAACGACGCACGAGCAGTTGACGACCTTGCGAGCGTTACCCTCACGGTCGATTTGGCCTGTTTTCTCAAGTCAGCACTCCAGCCTCCACCGCATTTGATTCGACGACATCAACATACAAAGTCCAGCCCACTCTCCAAGCTGCTTTCCATCCGGAACCTTGATGAGGGGGATCTTGTGCTCGCCGCACAGGGCCACGACAAGCTTCTTGTAGGCCTCCTCCTCGCAGGACTCGTTGAGGACGCACATGTGTGCCTGGCGACGGTCGAGAGCTTTGGAGGCTTCGCGCAGTCCGCGGGCGAGACCGTCGTGGATCAGGGCGATCTTGAGCACTCCCTTCAGGGCATCGAGAACGGACATGGAACCGCTCTTGCTGGTGTCGGCTGCCACCTCGACCTCCTCGGCCGCGGCGACCTCTTGCGGTTGCTCTTCTCCGTCCGACTGAATGGCATTGTGTTAGTAGATGTGCGATCCTGCGCAGGTACGAGCGAGTGTCGTGTGCTCAATGGGAGATTTTGGTGGTATCCATTTGAACGCTCGAATGGCAGGTGCAAAGCGCGCAGAATGGCAACGGATGCTGCGATGGAGTACTTACCATCTTGAATGTGGCGCTGTCGCTTTTTTCGAGTATGTCGAATTTCCTCAAAGAGCGTTTGGTGATGGTGAAAGGCGTGGGAAAGGAAGGAAGGAAGCCTGTCCGAGCTGCTGAACCATCAAACTGTGCCAATTTGGTGCGCGGTTCATGGTCGGGCTTGGCGGCGTTGCGGGACCGATCCGAGATCTGAGCTTGGACCTCCTTGGAGCCTCGAGAATTGGAGATGGAGATGGAGATGGAGATGACGATGTCGATGTCGATGTCGATGTAGCAACAATTCTCACTTCACTTTGTAACAGTCATGGCCTCCTCGTCGACGCGCGCAGCAATGCGCCTGCTATCACCTCGTCTGCAATGCCTCCAGAAACCCGCGCGATGCACACAAATACGCCACATGTCATCGCGGTACAGCAATCCAGGCAAGAGGAACTCCGCTGCTGAACCAGCACGGGCGCCTTCATTCGTAGGCGAGGCGCACGAATCTTCATCTGCTCCGGTGCTTGATGCAGGCCTTCGTCCTCCCATGAGTGCTCGTGATGCACGTGTGCTAGAGGAGGAAAGGAAACAGTACCATCTAAGGCGAATGCGTTTCGCGGGAATGGGCTTGCTTATGACCTTGATGGGTCTAGCGTTCACACTTTACAATCTAGATCTGGACCAGATGAATGAGTCGGAGAAGAAGCGGAGAGGACAGCAGCTGGATGCAGGCGATGAGTCGAATAAACGGTTCCAGGGCAAACAAGTTGAGATCATTGGAGCTGGAGACGGCAAGCGAATAGTGGCCAAAGGGCAGGGCCAAGAAATAGAACTGGTCGAGACCGGAACAAGCAGCGTACCGCATTTTCCTCGAACAATATATCTCCCTCCTTCTCCAGAATCCACAGATGCTTCTGGACCAAATACCGGCGCCAACGCGGGTAACGTCGAAAACCAGGAACAATACACATTGGTCGGACTCGGGATCAGGACCGTCTCCTTCCTCAGCATCCAAGTCTACGTCGTCGGAATGTACATCCGCACAAACGACATCACAACACTCCAAGAGAAGCTGATCCGCAACATCAACGAAAGCGCCTCAACCCTCATCCCCTCAGAGAAAGACGAACTCCGCAAACGCCTCACCGACCCAGCATCCAGCCGCGAACTCTGGACCGAACTCCTCAAAACCCCCGGCCTCAAAACCGCCTGGCGCATCTCTCCCACCCGAAACACAGATTTCGGCCACCTCCGTGACGGCTGGATCACAGGCATAACAAACCGAACCCGAGAATTCAAACAACTCGCCCAGGGCGCAGAGACGGAATTCGAAGCCGAAGATTTCGGCAAAAGTGTCGGCGACTTTCAACGGATTTTCGCGGGTGGCAAGGCTCCCAAAGGTTCGAATCTCATATTATCGAGAGATGTGAATGGAGAGTTGGATGTTTGGTTTCAGGAGAAACCTGCGAGCACTGCTGGGGAGGAAAGGTTGATGCGGCATTTGGGGAGGGTGGAGGATGAGAGGGTTTCGAAGTTGATTTGGTTGGGGTATCTTGGTGGGGAGAAGGTTAGTTCTGAGGCGGCGAGGAAGGGGGTGGCGGAGGGTTGTGTGCTGTTTGCGGCGAGGCCGATTGGGAGTGTTGAGGCTATGGTCACGTAGCGGCGAAACAGGAAGCCCCCCTCCAGCCTCATCTTTGCGGCTGCGTACAGTGTGATTAGATGCTGTTATTGACATCCGAACGACAGAAACGAAGACGACGCTCCAGCGTCGACAGTGTTTTGTATAGTGTTACAAAATCCAAGGCTGGATCATATAGTACTATCCATTCCTCACATGTCAGGCCAAACATCTATCCTACTCTCTCTCTCTCCTACTCTGTATTCCACAGCACCATTTCCCTCTTCCCTCCTCACAAACTATTCACGCCACCCACTACACTCTTATTACTCCTCGAAATCGCCGTCACATAAACAACCTCCCAAACCGTCACCGTCCTAGGATCCCTCACCGATTGCGATTGTGTCAACGTCACCGGTGGCAGTGGGGGTTGCTGCTGCTGCGAAAAAATCCCAGCTGTAGTAGTAAAAATCGAAGTCGTAGACGTCACCGTGACAACAACAGGTACGAGTTGAGTCGAGAAGGTTGCTGTAAGAGGGATACGGAGCGTCGAAGGGGAAGTCGAAGGTGGTTTTCTTGGTGTGACGTAGACGATTTGCCAGATTGTAAGGGTTCGAGGGTTTCGGGAAGACGTGGAGGTTCGAGTGAGAGGTGGGCCTGGTGGGAGGGTGGTGGTTGTTGTTGTTGTTGATGATGTTACTGTGATTGTGGCGTTGAGGGGGATGGGCGATGAGATTTTCTGGGAGTTTTTCGTAGGAGTTGCTGAGAGGTTTGGGGTGAGGATTGTTGAGAAGGGGGAGTTGAGAGGGATGTTGATGGATAGGGTGAGGGCTGCTCCGTTCGCCATGGTTGTGATGAAGGAGGATGAGGATGCGCTGGGAAGGGGTGCGAGGGCGAGTCTTGAGGAGTTGGCTCTTATACCGGTGCCGGTTGGTGAGGAGATTGTATTTTCATAAGGGTTGGTCGTATTGGTCCAAAGTGGGGTGGGAGAGGGGGTTGGGATTGGCGCCTTGGATGCATCGCATAGCAAAAGATTGATAGCTTCAGGATCAATTCCGGCTTGTGCCAGGGCATCTAGACGCAAGTTGTTACAGTTCGTGCTGGTGTTGGTGCCATTTTGGGCGGCTTGTAGAGCTGAGAGAGCAGTCTTGATGTCTCGCTCAGCTTGCGTGATGTTCGGGAAGATTACAATTCCGATGGAGTCCTCGCAAAGAAGCAGATGTCCTAGCGGGCCGTCAAGGCCTGTGGCATTGAGCCGAGCTTCTGTTGTGTCGTCGTTGCAGGCTGTTTCCGATTCGTTCAGTTTGATGTGATCGATTGCATAGATGACTGTTTGGACTTGTTGAATGTAGAGATGTATTGGCAAAGTTGAGTCTGAAGACTGTCGTGTGACTAATCGAGAGGCTTGAGCGCAGATGGCCAGGCAAAGATATGGGAAAACGGAAGTGAGATGCATCGTGCTTGAAGTTGAGGAAAGAAGGGTAAGGGAAATGGTGATATATTATGATCAGAGAAGGGGCAATCCATGATCATGCTGTCAATGCTTGGAGCAAGGAGGATGAGAGGTGTGGACAGTGTCTCACTCGCATTCATGCATCTCGGACTGGCCGTGAAGGACTTCTTCATGCCCCAACTGTTCATGGGCGATCCGGAAGGCAGCTGGAGCTGGTTCAGCCGTTTGAAAGAATATGTATTAACTTCTGGGGGCCTTTGACGAGAGACATGCCAATTGATGACGATACAGATGGCGGTATTTGTAGTGAATAATGAAAGAAAGCAGAAGCTGGCGAGGAATGTAGTCTGTACGTCGCCAAGCATCTGCTGAGCTGAACTCAAACTGATGCGCTTGCCTTCTCGAGTCACGGCATGTCAACAACTCTCTCACATCAATGCAGCATACTATAGAACCCTTCCAACTTGTCAGTCTACGACTTCCGTCAGCCTCTCGAAGGCTGTTCTCGATAAGCGCAACTCGATTCCTAGTAATATTTACTAAGCTATATAGGTGAAAACATCGATAATGCTAGACTGTAGCGTATCTAATAGTAGATACTGAAGTCTTAAGTATATATCTCTAGTATTCGTTGCGCTACAGTATCGCGATAGATTCTATATCGTCGCGGACTCTCGGGCGCAATCTTTAGTGCTCGACGCCTACTCTCCATAAATATCGTCTACTATTATACCTACGAGACTACGAGCGATATAGACAAAATTATAAGGCGAGTGTTTGCATATATATTATATATAATTTAGAGGGAGTTCTAGCATATAGGACTAAGATGCGCTTCTCGAAAGGAAGAGTGTCGGAAGTCGCTAACTGACAAGTTGGAAGGGTTCTATAGTAAAGATTCTGGCACTATACTACTGTCGCTAATCTCCTTGCTAATGCACATAAATGAAGTCTTCATTCTTCAAATCGGTCAGATCATCGAAGGCCCTGTCGCCCACTCCGGCGCCGTCGGTGTCGTTGACAATCTTCTGGCTGTGCGTGAGAGTCGATGCGCTCTGCATGGACAAGTCAACAACCTCCGCAGATTTGCCCATTCTCTGCCGGGCCGCCGCATGCTTCTTGTTCAGAATGGTAATGTAGAAAGCACCAACGCCCACAAACACGATGATGGCGATGAAGAGAGCCAGATTCGCGGCCAGGCCACGCGTGTAGCGAGGTTTTTCATCCGCGCGATACAAGTTGGGGCCCAGAATGTTCCCGGCAGAAGCTCCGATGAACAGAATGGCAGTCGTCATCTTGCGCTTGGTGTCGCCCGCTGTGTTCTGCCCGGACCACGAATAGATCATCGGGCTGATTGCGGGATACACCGATGTCATGTAGTACGCGAACAAGAGCACGCCCTTGTTGCCCTCGGTGTGCTCTATCTTAAGCAGCAGCGAGATCCCGATGATTGGCGGTATGCAGAGTGCTGCTAGAACGGGCGACTTCATCTTCTAGTGTGTCGCTGCCTAAGCGCCACTTAGCGTCGCCACCGACTGAACAGCGCCGAAAGGCATATTGAACAGAATGGTCGTAAAGCTGTCGAAGCCGAACGACTTAACGATGAGCGGACCAAACGTCGAGATTCTACCCGAGGGTATACTAACAGCCGTTAACATGCAGAACCAGATCTAGGTCTTGAGATCTAAGAAAACTTCTGTTATATGCTCCCACCTCCAGACGCCTGACGAAATCCCTATCTGATTTATGCGGAGTCGCTCGATTGCCATTAACTTGTCGTCACCCTTCAGGAAACGAGCTTGCATTAGAGAGTCTGGGAGCCATATAAAGACAACGAACGAGAAAGCTACTGTCAACAAGCCGTAGAAGAGGAAGATTGTCTGTCGAGGCTTAGCAACTTCAATGAGCAAGTTTGGTATGTCCTTACCTAGAATAGCCGCAGAGTCTGCGACCGGATATGCGCCAGGCCGTAGCTGAGAAGCGATCCGAATATGTTTACGATTCCGAGCATACTGTACTACGCGGCGTTGCGATTTGTCTGCTCCGATCTTCGATACCATATCTGCACGAGAGCAATGAATGTCGGGGCGACCGAGGCCTCGAAGCTGCCTAACACGAAACGTGAAGCCATGAGCCCGCCGAAATTCTTTGATGCCACCATTCCGCATAGCGTGGCTCCCCAGCACTGTTTTCACATCAGCATCTGCCCAGCTACGGCTGCGGACATGGTACTCACGAAAACCATCGTTGCGCAGAACTTGCCGAGCGGCAGCTTGACCAAGAAATACGCAACGATCGGCTGCCATACCAGCTGGGCGACATATACAATTGCTCCCGACCAGCTGTACTCTTGACCGACCAGATTCAGGTCCTCGATGATGCCGAAGACGGATGCATAACTCAGCGCAGTCTTGTCCAGAGATTGCAGACAGTATATGAAGAGAATAATGGGCAAGATATGCCAATCGATCAGGCTCAGGATTCGTTTGTTCTCTTCTGGCGTGACCACTACCGAATGCCCGGCTTTCTTCAGCAATTCAGCGGCCTTGTCCCGTCCACCTTCTGTCGCATCGATCGCTTCAATGGTCTCAGCGTGAACATCATTCGCCTTCTGATTCCCAAGCTCCAGTTGCACAATGTCCTCGTTCCTGGGCTGTGCCATGATGGATTCAAAAGAATGGAAAGCCTATTCTAACTGGATCCGCCGCGGAGCACGCGATAACTCAACAGAACCACGATCCGGCTATTGAGAATATATCATTGTCGCGTCTAAGTTCATCCGACGTTTATGCGCTCCACTACGGCGTGGTGCCCCGTGGGCTTCGACTGTCGATCCATGTTCCCCACCTGAAGGAAGCGGATCTGCGGACATCCACAAACGGGAAGCCGACCGTCTCACAGCAGCTCTCACCACCAACGAAACCAGAGCTGTTGAGGCTAGCATTCTGCTTGACCTTCGGATGAAGCAGCCCGAAGTGGCATTATATTGCAACTATCGTCGGCAACTGTGGGTGGTCTCAGTCGCCTCTTATATTTTCCGCCTCTCACTTGGCATAGGAAACATATCCGTATTCCTACCGGCAAAGAAAGGCATTTGGTCGGCTCGGTGAGAGCTGCTCCGACTTCTTGCATAATGCGGTCTGGTTCCAACTAAGAGTGGATTACAGCTCTGATATAGCGATTTCACCTACTCCACTAGGCTGTATCATTGCTGTACCACCAACACCATGCCGCAACACGAGTACGTACCAAAGTCCTACTCTTCGATAGGATCAGAAGGATCAAAATTGCTACATCTGCGAAGCAATGAACGTGCTGAACCGATAGATTTCACGTTTGAGGCAATCAAACCAGGTCTGTTCCGAACGACATTCACATCAAAGACCCATCCTCTGCCTCCCTTTCCCAGCGCCAGGAAACCAACAGTTCAAGATGCACATTTCTCAACCAAGGCTACGGGAGGCAGCTCAAGGACCTATTCTGCTGGCGACATAGAGGCGAAAGTTGAGTGGGATGGCGTACCAATCGTCACGGTTGGATTCGCTGGACAGAAACCTTTGCATACAGATCTACCATTTCGATCGTATGTGATAGACGGAACAGGGATTGCTCACTACACTCGGTATTTTCGGGGCAGTCTCCATGTTGGACTTGGAGAGAAAGCCGCTCCAATGGACCTTTCGGGACGCCATTTTACGCTGTCGGCAACAGATTGCTTTGGATACGATGTTCACAGGACAGATCCCATGTACAAACACATCCCGCTTTTGGTGAGGGCTACTCCGGAAGGTGTGGTCGCAACTTTCTCCACGAGCCACGCACGAGGCTACTACTCTGTTGGGTCCGAGATGGATGGTATGTGGGGCTTCTTCAAAGTGTATAGGCAGGACCATGGAGGTCTAGAGCAATACATCTTGATCGGGAAGACATTGCAGGAAGTGGTCACTCTTTACGCCGAGCTTGTTGGCTTTCCACTTCTAGTGCCCAGATGGGCTTTTGGCTATCTGGGCGGGGGCATGAAGTATTCGATGCTGGACGAGCCTAGAGCCAGTGACGCGCTGATGGACTGGGCTAGCAAAGTGGAGAAGTACGATATTCCTTGTTCCGGGTTTCAGATGAGCTCTGGTTACACCGTTGCAGAGACGGAGCCCAAGACGAGAAATGTCTTCACCTGGAACAAACACAGATTTCCGGACCCAAAAGCTTTCTGTGATGCTTTTCATGCCAAAGGCATCAGGCTGATCGCAAATATCAAGCCTTACATCTTGGCGAGTCACCCAGAGTACGAGAAGCTGGTGAAGGCAAATGCACTCTTCAAGGACCTCAACAGCGGAGGTAGCGGGATTGCTCGATTATGGAGTGCTGGTGGAGGTGAATCTGGTGAAGGCGGGCACATTGACTTCTCGTCCAAAGCTGGATATGACTTCTGGTATAACGGTGTGAAGGAATTACGCAAGGTTGGTATGGACTGCATGTGGAACGACAACAACGAATACCTGGTACCGGATGATGACTGGCAAATGGCACTTGACCAGGAATCTGTCAAAGACATCAAACAGGATCGGAGGGATGTTGGTCTATGGGGCCGTGCCATGCACACAGAGCTCCACGGGAAAGCTTCCCACGATGCCTTGCTAGAGATCTGTCCCAACGAGCGCCCATTCGTACTTTCACGAAGCGGCACTGCTGGGACATTTAAATATGCATGCTCAGCTTGGTCTGGAGATAACATCACGTCTTGGGACGGAATGCGTGGCGGCAACGCTCTGTCTCTCAATGCCGGCATGTGCTTGATGCAATGCTATGGTCACGACATTGGAGGCTTTGAAGGGCCACAGCCTACACCCGAGCTCCTATTACGTTGGGTCCAGCTTGGGATCCACAGCCCGCGTTTCGCGATCAACTGCTTCAAGACCGGGGACGATAATCTTTTGGGAGATGTCATTGAGCCCTGGATGTATCCTGAAATCATCCCTGAGGTCCGCAAGGCGATCCTGCGGCTCTACGAACTCATTCCCTACCGGTATGGTCTGATGCTGAAGAGCCATTTGACTGCTGTACCACCACAGAGATGGGTAGGCTGGGGCTACGAAAGTGACCCGGAAGTGTGGAATCACAGAGTCTTGAAGGATGGCGAGCAACAGTACTGGCTTGGTGACACACTGCTTGTAGGTGGAGTCTATGAGTCTGGGGCAACAGAGGGCAGAATCTACACTCCAAAGCGTAGCGCTTCTGATCCTGGCTTCTTGAACCTCAACGCTCCGTATCAGTATCTACCGGCTGGCCAATGGCATACCATCTCGTCACCATGGAAGGGCAGCATTCCCATATTAGCAAGAATCGGTGGTGCCATCCCAGTTGGAAAGAACAAGCAAGTCGTTGCGCCGGGCGACAAATTGAACGAAGCAAATCTGCCCGCAGATGACTGGCGAGGCATCGAGATCTTTCCACCTCCGGAAGATGCTGCGGATGATATGCTGTATGCGAATGACTGGTTGGAGGATGATGGAATCTCGCCTCCTCCAGCCAAGATTGCGAAATTCTGCATCAGCTATTCTGCCACGGCGCAGGAGGTCCGAGTCGCCTTCGACCGAGCCATTGCCGCGTTCACACCGCCTTGGGTGAGACACGGGGTCACAATCATCCTTCCGGTCGGCGATTCGAGGAACGTTGTTAGCCGTGATGGCAAAATTGTCGAAGCGAGGCGACAGGATGACTCGGGACGACGGAGATTTCAGATCCTTGCCGGCTCGTAGTCATTGCAGAGTAGACTGGAAGCCTCCGGGTTCTATTGACACCCATGTTGGGAACCATTTCTTTGTTCAACTCACACGGTAGGGCGAAGTGCAAATATGACAGCCTACGACGACACGGAGCATCCTTTGTTCCCATCTACTGAACCCCGACGACGAAACAGTACCGTGAAGAAATCTTGCAGTGTGGTTCGAGCTTCAATGCATCATCATCATCCACCTTGGCTTCGCTTTCGCCGAGCATGCCTTCAAGCCAAAAACACGAGGCACCAGAGCCCATCCCAGAAGACCATCACACCCTCCTAGGCAACAGAAGAATCTCCACATCTCCCTCTTGGTCCCGAAAAAGCTACCGGCTCCACCACATCCTCCTCTCCGCCATCACAGGCGCAATAGCAGCAACAGCCCTCCTCCTCCTCCTCACCCTCATCCTCCTCCGAAAAAGTCCATCCCCAACAAAACATTTCTACCCAGATTTCCCCTTCCAGAACCCGAAAATCTTCCACGAAGACCCGAAATTCGTCAACGGGTCTTGGGAAGCGGAGTTCGCGAACTTCTTTCCTCGTACGTAACACACCCCCCAAACCTCATTCCATCACTCCCTAAAAAAAAAAAAAAATATAGAAGAACACGGCTTCATCCGCGTCCCCAACCCCACCTCATACTCCCTCTCCGGGGGCTTCCCTCTCGACCACGGCGCCGAATCCTACAGCGTGTCCCTCTTCCACCAACTCCACTGCGTCTTAGCTTTGAAGCAAGATTTCAACCTCCTGGCCTCCTCACCCACGAAGGAGGAAAGGAGGTTAGATTCCGAGGCGTTGCGGCATGCGGGACATTGTTTTGAGTATTTGCGGCAAGCGGTCATGTGTTCGGGGGATTTGACGTTGGAGAAGATGAAGAGGGATGAGAAAGGGAGGCCGGTGAGGGATGTGATTGGGTGGGGGGTGAAACATTGGTGTAGGAGTTGGGAGGGGATTGTGGAGTGGGCGGATAGGAATGGGGATAAAAGTGTGAGGGAGGGGGAGATTGCTGGGCATCATTTGCATGGTGGTGGTGGTGGTGGTGGTGGTGGTGGTGGTGAGGGGCATGGGGGTTGAATTTGCAAGTTGTTGGCTATGGATGGATTTGAGGCTCTCTTCATCATCTTCTCAAGATGATTGATGTAGTTGTGTAAAGTCAATAGATGTGGCGCTGATATGTTAGGTGCCAACATCCTTAGCCGACGATCTCTTTACCGACCCTATGTTCGATGAGGAAGTGGTCCGTGCTCAGTCGTCGACGTATTGCTATATCTGCTCGTCGTCATCTTCCTTGTAGCTCACTCTGCTCTTAGCGGTTCGCCTGCTGGCTTGACGTGAAAGTTCCGGTCTTTTGGCTACGGGCGCAGGGACATCGTCCTCCTCGTCATCATGCAAGTGTGGCTCCTCAACAGACTCCTCGTCGGACGCGCTGGGAGTTGGCACAGCTTGAGGCTCCTTCTTCGCCCTCCCCTTCTTCTTAGGAGCAGGCTTGTTGGCTGCTTTAACTTGCACAGCCGCGGCTTTGATAGCAGCTTTCTCAGCATCAGCTTTCGCCTTGGCACGCATGGCAGCTTTGGCCTTCTTGGTTGCAGGCGTGGCTTCCAGATCTGACTCGTGATCTTCCTCCTTGACATCTGGTTCTGTTTTCCCAGCGTTCTTCGCAGCCTCATTTGCCGCATATATCTCTGCGGCTTCTCGTTTGGCTTTCTGTGCTTTGGTTGGTGCCTTTTCAGCACCATCTTTCTTCTTGACTTCGCGCTTCTTGGGGCGTAGCCACTCTTCCATGGTTGGTGGCCAGTATACGCGTCCTTCTGGACCACCCATGCCCACATCTTCTTCAGGTATCAAGACTGGGTCAGGTTCGTCGTTGGACTTCTTCTTTTTGTTCATAGCGGCAAGCGCGACTTTGTTATCGTCATTTCTGGTGTAGGGTAGCACATCGTTGAAGGTGTCATATCCAGGGAGCTTGAAAATGCGCATCAGCTCGAGTACGGCCTGCTCTTTGTCTTTGGCCTCAATCATCAAATCCATGTCCTGGGCGCACGGTGGTAACGTCGCTACGCGAGGACTGTGCTTGCGACGTTGGCGTCCAGTGATTGCTGCTGGGGTTGGCTCTGAATAATGCATCTTCTGCTTTATGCCTTTCCGATCCCAAGTGGCTTTGATTCGAGGGTATAGATCCATGATGTCTTTGGTGCCCTCTCGAATTTTGTCTGCGTCGAACATGATGTTGTGATGGTGATAGTCTAGATTTGTCAGCGCAATACCCAGAATTCAAAACTGGCGAGTGGCTCACCGAGTACCAGAGGAATGTTGAGCTCTTCACAGACGGGCAGGAGATCATGTACCGTCCAGCTGACATCGTCGTTCTCAAGCACGAGACGGTTCTTGATGCTCTGAGGCAACTTGACATACTCCTCACGGAATCTCTGGAGGGTCTCCTCTTTGCCCTCAAAGACTCCACCCATATGGAGAATCATGACGGCGTCTTTGTTGTCCTGCTCCGGTAGTTTCAGCAGCGTCAGTAGCTCATCGTGGTAGGCAAGATCGCGGATGGCGTTGTCTATGACGGATCGTCTGGGGCTTCCAAGCTGAGTGAACTGGCCAGGATGTGTAGTCACACGATGGCCGTGCTGTGCGATGACTTTACCAGCCTCTGCTAAAGCTTCGCTCGCAAATGGAGCGAGGCTATACCCATATTCGGGATGTGATGCAAATGGAAACATTTCGGAGGACAGGCGGAGGAACTTGATGTGATAGCGATGATTCCAACGGATCATCTTCGCGATGTCTCGGACATTTGCAAGACATAGCTCCTCGACATATTTCTGACCCAGTGCGACGTCGGCAGGCTTGCTACGATCTGGCCGATTTTTGGTCGGATGCTCGGGCTGAGATGGGTCTTGCAGAGGGTGGCGATGCTCCAGGATCGACTGTATGCGACATGTGCGAGACTGAAAGACCGGAGGGGTTGAGTTTCGAAGATAAGTGTTCAGACAAGCATAGCCAAGGCGGCCTTTCCAAGGGAGAGGAAGATAATCACTATTCACAGGCGGAGGTCTAGCCAGGGCCTCCTTCACTTCCTCTTCGTCAGCGTCCTCGTCGCTTTCGGCCTCAGGATCTCCTGGCCCATCGTTCGGCGCCTTCTTCTGCTTCTTGGCAGGTGCGTCTTCAAGCGATGCAGAATCATTCTCAGCCGTAGCCGTAGCCGTCTTTTCCCTTCCTTTCTTAGCAGGCTTAGTTGATTCTGCCGTATTTTCGGGTTGCTTGGGAAACCCTTCCACTTTCTCTGCTCTTGCCTTGTTGCCTCGCGCCTTCTTCACTGGCGGTTGCAATACAGCTGGCGCATCACTTAAAGGGCTCTCTTGGCGGTTATTGGCATCCGAATGAACGAGCGCGGGCACGATTTTCTCATTGGCATGGCCGTGTGTCGAAGCGCGTAGAGCTCGGCTCTTGGGAGGAGGTGGTGGTGGAGCACCTTGTGTACTTGGAAGTGCTTCGGACGGGTGCGCAGAGCGTTTTCGTTTGGCTGGCGCCATCGTAGACGGCAGACGGAGCGTATATGAGAGGTTACTTGCGATCAAGCTTCTGTGGATGAATGGAGAATGGGAGGCTGCACTGAGCCTTTGTAAACAAGCAATGGAGAACATACGCGACAAGGAGCGCGTTAAGAAAAGAGGTGGACGCGAGCTCGATATGGTGGGAGAAGGATGGAGTACTCACGCTTCGCTTCGCTTCGCTTGGCTGCGAATGTGCAATGTCTCTGCACGTACCAGCACCAGCACCTCAACGCCATCTGTGTCGTCCATCGTCATCATGCGAGATCTGACATCTGATGAGATCTGATGGGCGATCATTTTAGGCCCCGAGAGTACGGAGGGCGACAGCGTGCTCCGAGAAGAAACAACGCGCTTCACCTTTCTTCGCACCTCCGCCATCTTACTCATGACTTTGCTTCTCGAACATCTCACATATCATATGCTGCGATGCCGAGTATATTCACAGCTGGCCGCGACGATAGGCTCATGTCCAAGTCGAAGGCGTTGCTTCGGCACCGTCAGACGCCTGCAAAGCTCTGAAATCGTGTCCGTGCCGTGCTCAGGAAATGCCAATATCACATTGAAGTATATCAACAACGATGCTTTACAGCCGGGCGCCTGCTAACGAGTAACGACTCAGCATACATCAATCCCAGCGAGCCATTGCTTCACCAGTTGTCGCCGTCTACTTGCCACGAGGACCGCTCCTCACAGCGGAAGAAGATGACGAGTCAAACATGTCCATACTACGCTCAAGCTTGAGTTGTCCGGTCGTCAGAGTGAATTACCGATGCGACAAAACCCATCGGTATCCAACAGCGATCCACGATGTAACTTCAGCCCTCGACTTCATTGTATCAAATCTGCTTCCCAGGCGAGCATTGGTCCGACCAGGTCGATCGCAGCACACCGGCAGGCTGGCCATCTGCGGTGAGCTTCTTGGCGGCCAGCTCGCCACAGCCATGGCTCTCACCGAATGCCGTATTGGTGAGCCTGGCATTGTGGCCGCAGCCGTGTCAAATCCTATTGCAGACTGGACAGCGCTTGATATCGATCCCTTGTCCGATGGGGCGAAACGATCAAAATCTGAAGTGGAACAGCTCAACTTGGAGGAACTATGCGCTCAAAGAGATGTTATTTTCAGGAAGCCTGAACACTATTTCGATCCCTTCGCGTCGCCTACATTGTTCTTTCGGTCCCCTGGCGTTCATGTCCCAAAGCAAACAGACCAGCAAATCCTGGACGACATGGATCAGCTGGCACTATTTGGGCGCGAACAATATGTGGGACCAGAGTCTATTATCAATGCGTCGCCCGTCAAAGATGCGCCCAAGTCCCGCGAAGGAGAAGAATCGCCATCCACGACGAGACGGACTTCGGAACGATGTATGTGAATTGCAGACTGTGGTTTTATGAAACTGCTGACATCCTCCTCTCCGCCTTCAGACCCGAGCAAGGCCTTTAATCTACGCCTGCCATCATTCCGCATTACCGCGGGTTTGGACAATGCCATCGGTGCCCAAACAGCTGAGCTCGCCAAGCTGCTCAAGCAAAGTTTTGCAAGGCAGAGCAGAACGACAGCATTCGGTATCAAGTCCTCATGGGAAGATGAATGGGCAGCACCGGACACGGGCAGGGTCATTCATCAGATGTACGCCGGAATGGGTCTGTGGAGTGCGACGCATGAAGGAAAGGCGAGGATGACTGAAGCTGCCAGATGGCTGGGGCAAGAGCTGCAATGACAGTCCTCTACGAGTAAAATACCCGATCCCCCAGCTCCAAGGAGAACGCAATGAAATCTTCGAAACAACAAGTTGCCACAAAGTCGGACGGCGACGGCCTTCATTTTCGACCGCGTTTAACCGCAAGGATGATGTGAGTCCGATGCTTTATTTGCAGCTTCCGGGCAACCTGGATCGCCGTAATGGCATCCGGCCAGACAGCATTCGTTGCCGTTTTTGTCTTTATACGTGTTCATGTATAAGCCACCTTGGGCAGCACACGCCGCACCTGGGTTGGTCAGCTATTACAGCAAGTTAGCCTCGTGGACAGTTTTGCAAGCGACTATGGTCAACGTTACATGGCAATTGGGTTTACCGTTGAGGCAATTTCCCATATAGCCAGCCCCACAGTCTGTATGTATTTCCACATCATGATTGTCGCAACCACCGTGGCCAGTCTTGGTTGGGCCAGGCGATCCTTTGGGTGCGCCTGGTGACGAAGATTTGGGTGCGCCTGGTGACGGAAATTTGGGTGCGCCTGGGTACTTATAATAATGGTTCTATTTGGGAAAGGTATTAGCCACAATCCGAATGGGTGGTAGGTGTGTCGAGTTTTTCATGCATACCAGTCCACGAACTTTGAATTTCTTGTATACGGGTTCTACGTTACGCTCCATTCGTAGCATCTTAAAGCCATTCATGTCCTCCATGGCGGAGACAAGACTCAAGAGAGCGGTGATGGCGAGGATGATGATGGACTTCATCTTGAGCAGTGAGTGAGTGAGTGAAAACTGCTAAAACGGGAGCTGGGCGGCTAGAAGCAAGATGAGCCATTGTACGTATTATACTGTATGCCTTGAGAAACGTAGCTGAAGCGCTAGTAGGGTACTTCTGGTGGAGTTGAAGTCTATAAGGCAAACTTCGATTGCTTTAGAAGTTTGGGAGACTGCCGCACGCGTTCGACGGGCCCTCCGTGAGACGGGGAGGATGGTGCGCTTCCCATCTTCGTTCGTATACAGCGTCTCTACACTTCGGAGTGAAAGTCACTAGGGCCGGACCGCTGAATAATAAAGTATCGTTCAAGCCCTGCAGTGCTTGTCCTATTCGAGCGGAGCGACGGCGTAGAGCTCGAGAACAAAGTTAAAGGAATGGCCTTAGGCTCGGCACACGTGATTGCGATTCGAATTGTTAACTAATCACAGCGCGCGCTCTGTTTTGCGGGCGCATCTTTCAAATTCAGCCTCCCTCGAAGCCCTGCACTGCTATTGCTTATTTACTAACCGCACCTGTACGTATATGCAAATCCATACGTTGTGTGGCACTAATCTGATTTGTTCTCGAGCTCTACGCCAGATTCAATCTCGAACAAGTGACTATTCGCTGTAATCCTTGCTCCTCAGGGATTTGGTGAATACCCGCTTTCACTCCGAAGTGTTCAGACGCTGTATTGATAGTAGCCCCAGTCCTCAGTAATGAAAGCATGCTAGGGTTGCGGAGATACCTTTCACTCTCGGTCCGCAAGTTAGTCCGAGCGATCGGATCCACTCTCCCCTTGTTAGTGTATTAGTCATCCTAAGTGAAGCTGAATTTCTCTAAGTCCTTCGAGCTAGATTTTTGAGACAACGCGATATATAGACATAACGATTTTGGTAAAGAAATAGAGGCAATAGAATACCCTCTTTCGGACTAGAATATCTACTCTATAACAAAGGGCGTAGGTGGATGAAGAAATAGCCTCAGAAATCACGATGTCGCCACCAGAGTTTGTTAGGGATCAAATGTACGCAGGCGTAACCGGATATCCTTCCCGACATCCGATCGGCGGTCGACTTCCAATTGTTTGTTGCCGTTCTTCTTTGAAAGATCAACAACCAACAAAATGGCCACCACGGCAGATGCTGCGCCGGGCCTGGCATTCCCGCGCGACACCTTCGCCAAGCTCACGCCTGGTCCGTTTCTTCTCGCTCACCTCACACGGCCGGAGTCTGTGCGGCCCAGTGGGAGGAGACCGCATGAGTTTCGCACTGCTACCATCAACACAGGCTCCCTCAGTCACAGCAACGGGAGCGCCGTCGTCAGACTGGGAGATACCGCGGTGGTTTGCGGAGTCAGAAGCGAACTTTTGCTGGCCTCCGATGTCCCACACCCTCCCGATCAGCACGCGACCAGCAGCGCCATTGTTGAACATCTCGCCCTGATCGTGCCCAACGTGGAACTGAGCACAGGATGCTCACCTTCACACCTGCCTGGAAATCCGCCAACATCACTTGCGCAATCCCTTTCGCACCGCGTCAGCTCATTGCTCAATGGCTCGAATGCGATTGATCTCGCCGACCTCAGCATCAAACACACAGAGCCTCAAACAGAGCACCATCTGCCGGATGAGGAGCCAAAGATAGTGACCAAGGCTTACTGGGCGCTTTACCTGGACATTCTTTGCTTAGCCCTCGACGGGAACGCCTTCGACGCAGCCTGGCTCGCGGTGACGGCGGCGCTGCAAGACACCATCCTCCCCAGAGCCTGGTGGGACCCCGACCGGGAGATGGTACTCTGTTCGCCATCAGCATCGGAAAGTTCTCGTCTGAGACTCTCAGGTCTGTGTGTTGCGTCTACCTTTGCCGCCTTCTCCACTGCTTCGCCACTCAAGCAGAGACACGCGGCCCAGAGTTGGATCTTGGCCGATCCTGATGCCTTCGAGGAGGACCTTTGTGATGAGACTGTGACAGTCGTGCTCTCGCCAGCCTCTGAGTCCGGCAGATCAATAGTGCGCATTGAGCGAAGCGGTGGCGGCGTTATTGCCAAGGATCTCATGCAGCAATGTGTCCAGCGCGCTGAGAACCGTTGCCAGCAGCTAGAGGCCTCTCTGCAGGCTCGGTGAAAGGTGCGGATCTGTCACGGCGACTCCTATCAAGCATGAAAGCTCAAAGCTCCTCGAGCGATGCAACACATGCGTATCGGCATTCCAGAAATGGTAAAAGGCAGCAGTTCAGGGATATTGCATACTCGATGACAGTCTTGGCACCCACCGGCCCCTCGTTGTGTGCCTGTTCGGCTGCTCAAGATACAGTACATGTGCAGGAGCGAAAGGCGTATTCCGACTGGGCACAGCCCTGGTTCGGAAGCAGCGATGAGACGTGCATGAACCAAGTACTGGGCATCTGCAAAGAGGCGGTAGCGGATGATGAGGCTCAGTCGATGTCCAAAATCATCCACAGCCATCTACCTGGAACAGTTTGAAAATTCAGAGGAGGAACAAGCTACTTCTGACTGTCGCAACGTGGAGGGGGAAATACACCAAGTACGGACCTAGACCAATGTGAACTGCTGCGGCAGCGTATGAGCGGAAGGATTCCAATCCTTGCTTGTACTTCTCGTGGCACGTGAACAGCCCTATAAGCCCTGCCACTTCCACTTCCTCACATAGATTCGCCACGTTGCTCGCTTCGCTGTTGTAGATCTCGAACAGATCTGCACCCAACATGCTTCGCCATGGACACCGCCTAAAACAGTACTGTGTACGAATGAAGAGTGTTGATAACACTGGAAATAGCGGTACCAGCTGAGTCTAAGCTCGGACGTGCAGATGCCGCCTCTACTGTCTCGGGATGCTTACTTCGACTCTCCGATTGCAGTGAATCTGCGCAGCAAATATGCTGTGCGGTGACTACGCAAAAGATCTCTTCAGCCCACGTCTTGTGCAACAGGGGTCATTATAAGAAAAGGTAATAAAATATAGCTTTAATGAAGAGGTCTTCGAAGGGTGTAAAGTCTAACACTGCTATCGCTCAAGCAGCTACAGATTCATACGTTTACCAACATGAAAACTCAACCCAGCAGCTCTTCGAGCAAGGGACTACGTGGCCGGAGAAGTGGCGTCAAAGTGCCTTGCGATGAATGCATTCAGAGAGCCAGCCAGACCGGAACAGAAGGCAACAATCTTGAGCTTTGCGACAAATGTACTGCAGTGCTTAGCCGGCCTCGAAAGAAGCAGGAAGATCGGCCCTCAAACATCCGCCGCGTACGCAGACAACGCCATGCAATCATTGATACGGCACTGGGTATACATACTGAGCAACCCGCGATGCCCTGGAGCTCCGACAGGTATGTCAATAAAGTGGCGAAGTTGCAAGGGAAAGGCTGCTTACGAATTTCTCTAGACAAGAACAGCATGCTCTTCAATTCTTCATCAAGCATAGTGCTCCACAATTAGCAGGATACTTCGACTCTCCTTTCTGGCAGAAGATGGTGCTCGTCGCCGCGCGACACGAGCCAGCTGTCCGACATGCGGTTGCTGCGATTGGAGCTTTGCACGAAAAACTGCTTGCAGGCGTGGTCAACCCTGCAGAAACAACGCAAGACAAGCGAGGCCGTTTCGCTCTTGAGCAATGCAACAAGTCGATTCAGATCTTGATCAAGCCTCGCGAGGCCGGCGGGAACCCCAATCTTCGCCTGATGCTTACAACATGCGTCCTCTTCACTTGCTTCGAGGCTCTGCAAGGAAACTGCGAGCAAGCTATCATCCATGCATCGCAGGGGTATAACTTGCTGCAACAGTATGCCGTTGATCCCGAGGACAAGCGTTGGGACGCCGGTGCGTTCGCCGTGGAACTGGATCAACTCACTGTGCTCATGAGGAGATTACAGACACAAGGCAAAGGTTGGTGGACACAAATTCTGGCATGACTTTTCGATGCTTTGGACTGGCAGCTGATGGCCACTGCTTTCTTCAGGACTCATGGGGAAGGACTCCAACATGCTGTCGCGCACACAGGAGCTGGCCCTCGAGAAGCCGACGCGTTTCGTCGATCTTAACGATGCCCGCTCAACTCTGGAAAAAGTTTTGAATCAGCTTACGGTATTCTTCTTGGACCTCGAGTTAGACGAGCAGTATTACGACATGGCGATTTCCAATGGCGAGAAGCATCTTATCTTCGCGCCTTAGCTGTAGGCGTGGGAGCTTGCGTTCTCGAGCTTGCTTGCGCAACGTCAGCACATTATGAACGAGCAGGAGCGAAAGGGTGCAATGATCCTGAAAGCTCACCATTTGGTCGCCGAAATACTCTCCAAAGTCGACTTGTCTTTGGGTGAGATGGTATAGGATGCTTTCTACACCGAGTTCACTGCAATAGTCGATCTTGCTGCTGCCTTACTAGAAGACGGCAAGAAGTCAGATGCCTCGATAATAGATGTAAGATAGAAGACGAGTGGGGTCTTCATCTCCTCATCAAATGCCGAGCTTTCGTTCTCCCTAGGTATTGTTGACCCACTGCACGAGGTAGTGGCTCGATGCAGAGATCCTGTCCTCAGAAGATGAGCGTTGGAACTTCTGGCCGCGCACCAGGCTTCGGCGATGTGAGCGACTTATATTAAATCGCACGCGTGTTACCGCGAGCGACCTATTGTAGGTTATTAGTATAGCGTTTTCTATAGGTCGCACCTATTATAAGTCGTATAGAGTATAGCGTATAGATATCGTCCAAATCGCGTCTATTTCCTATTGTTTAGCCTCTACCGCGTATCTTATTACTATATACTATACTGTCGCTATTATTGCTATTTAGATAGTATATCTTATCGCTTAGATAACCTTACTGCCGCCTCTTATTATATGTTTTAATAGCTAAGCCTAACTACCTTATTTACCGCTTTTTTAAATAGTATAACGACTATAGAGCGAAGCGACGCGTAACGTATCGATTCTATATATATAACGCTATTAAGGACTTAACTCGAAATAAGGAGTATATCGAAGGGTATAAGAAGCGTCTTAAGGCGCAGAAAACAGAGCTAGGCACGATAGATTAGACTAAATTGCCGTAGGTCGCGTTAACTAATAACTAATACGACTATCTCGAGGAATTATACGCTATAGTCTATTTCGAGGAGAATAAGCCCTTTACGTTTTTCGAGAAGCTAGCTATTAAGGCCTTGTTCGCGGTATTATATCTATCCTTTAAGCCTCCGAATACAACGCGAATTCGACGCGTTTTACTACTATAGCACTTCGAGAAGCTAGAAAAGAAGATATTAGCAAAGATTAAGTGCGCTAAAGAGTTAAACCTACAAATTAACGGTACGTCTAACGGTAACGGTATAGGCGTTACTACCTTATTGTTCGTCGACTCGACTAGCTACTATACTATTAAAACGCGCTAAATAGAGACTATTAATAAAAGCGGTAAAGAAGGCGCGCGCTAGATAAAGGCGAAGTGCGAATAGCTTACTAGCGGCGACCTATCGAAGGTTAGTATAAGAACCTAAGCAAGTGAAGTCTCCTGTTATGCCTTAGTAAGCCTATATAACAATTATATAATGTTATTACGTGCACTGCGGTGCTGTCTCGCTAGCGCAAAGCCTGCTTAGCGTATACGCGGAAAAGCTTGGTCGCTCGTATAGATATACTCGGTTACCGGCTCGGTATATATACTATCCGTACGTAGCCTAGTTAATAGTAAACACTCTACCCTGTTCTAAAAAAGGCATAGTTTAGTTCTACTTTCTACTACGGCGATTAGTAGAGGGTGTTCTATACGTTGCTATATACCTATTTTCTTATAGTTCTAAACTGTCTACCCTTTATAGCGGCCTATAGAACCCTAAAAGATAAACGCAAGCGATCCGAACGCGCCGGGCGCGAGAAACGCGTAGAATAATGCCCTAGGAGCGCCGATAGTATTAGAGAACGACGCGGCGATATAATAAGACGAAGCTAAATACTAGGCGCGCTAAGAAGCGACCCGCCTACGGCTCGAACGATTTCTAGCTAAGTAAGAAGTGCTTAGGCTAGAAGTATAGGCTTAAGAAGCTAAGCGAGAGAATGCGCGCCTTCGTACTCTTAGGGACGTAGGCGATACGCTAGCTCCGAGTAGCGGCACTACCGGCGAGGGTCCTACGAGGACCCTACCCCTAGACGAGGACGAGGACGAGGAAGAATTAGCTAACAAGTCGATTTAGAGGCCTAAATCTTAGAGAGCTAAATCTGTCTCGTATCGACTACCTCTTTCTAGAAGTACGCTAAGCGTAGCTACTATACCTAGTATAAGCTACGTAGTCGCTAGCCTTGCGGCTATTAAGCCTTGCCTAAAGGAACCTAAGCCTTTTAAAGGCGATACGATTAAGGAGTCGAGGCGATTCCTTTAAGAACTTTCTATTACCTTTATACTATCTAGAGCTACCTATTATACGGACGAAAGCAAGGTGCTTTATAGTATTATATACCTCGTAGGCGATACGTAGGAGCGATAGCATAATAAAAACAGCCTTAAGGACCTGTAAAATTATACCTACTAGGACTTTAAAACCTTCTATCGGGACTACGTCGGGGACCCTATAAACCGTATACTAGACGTAACTCTCGAGTATAAGGCGGCCCGTTAGCGTAAGGGACAGTTAGTCTAAAGCTTTGCCCTTAAGCTCGTAGTACTCGAAGATTAACTTAGCGACTATAGCGAGGAATATAGGATCTACTATCTCCTCGTTAAACTCTAGCCGGCGATTCGTAGCGCGATTATTAAATACTATACAGTGCTAACGACGCGTTACGAACTCGTAGAGCTTGCGACGCGCATCGAGACCTCTAATAAGCCGTCTAGTAAACGCAAGAATCGTAACTACGATAAAACCGGAGGTAGTAAAGGTAAGAAGCGTCGATCTAATAGTTAGGCCCGTAAGTAGTAGTTAAATCGCGACCGTAGCGTAGGCGGAAAGTATACGAAGGGCGATAACTTACAAGGCGGGTATAACATTAGTAAGGTCGAATGTTATAGCTATCGCTAGAAAGGCTATTATAAGAACGCGTACCCGAACCGCTATCTCTAGAAAGACGATAACCCTACGGTACGTAAGGTAGCCGCTAACGCTAAAGAGAAGAAGAACGACTCGAAGGCTAAGGGAAAAGATAAGGCACCTCCTAAGAGCTAGGGATAGGTGCGGAATCTTAACTAAGTAGCTTAGTAGTAGTAGTACCTATAGGACGCGTACGCGGAGCAATCGTTACGTAAGAAGGGGAAGTATCCGTCGAATGCTTATTAGATAATACTACTAATATTAATATAGTATCTTAAGAATTCGTTCTACGATACTAGCCTTAGCGGATTGTTAACGCCGTACTACCTAGTACCGACAGTTTCTAGGGCGACCGAGGATACTACTACGGAGCGCATTATCTACGCTTACGGATCGCCGACTCTATAGGCTAAGAACGCATTACTACCGGAGTATTCTATACTTTCGAAATGCCCCTCCCTAATATTATTCTTAGTAGGCCTTAGAGGCGCGATTAAAAGGTAATCGTCGATAGCTCGACGGATGCCTAAACCTATAGGAACGAAGCCGTAGCGCGTTCGATACGCGTACGGGAACTATAGGAATTCTAGAAGGATATACGTAACGCCCTATACGTATATACGATTAGCGTTCGCTAGCTCCGCGATATCGCTAAAGATTCCTCCTTACTAGAAGAATTTAAAGACTTTGAAGACGTTTTTATAATAACGCCTAAAGCGAGGCGTAAGCTCCCCGAAGACGTAGAGTATACGATTAACCTAATCCCTAGAACGAAGCCGCTATATAAACCTCTCTACTATTCTTTAGGAAGAGAGCTTAGCGACCTTCGTAATTACCTAAGCTTAGCCTTAGAGAATAATTAGATCTAGCTTAGTATAAGCGAGGCAGGTACGCCGATTCTGTTCGTACTAAAGAAGGATAGCAGTCTAAGACTCTACGTCGATTATAGGGGGCTAAACGAGATTACTATTAAAAATCGTTACCCCCTACCTCTTATTAGCGAAACGCTTAATAGGCTTAAGGACGCCGAATAGTATACGTCCTTAGACCTTTAGGATATATATTACCGTATCTATATTAAGCGAGGCGACGAGTAGAAGACTACGTTCTATACGCGGTACGGGCACTTCGAGTATAAGGTAATGCCTTTTAGGCTTACTAATGCTTCTACTACGTTCTAAGGATACATTAATAGGGCGTTAGCTAGCCTTATTAATATTTGCTATATCGTCTATCTTAACGATATTCTTATTTATAGCAAAACGCGAGAGGACTACGTACGAGACGTACGCGCTATCCTTACGCGGCTCCGGAAGTTCGCCTTATATACGAATAGAAAGAAATGTTCCTTCTAGAAGAAAGAAGTCGAATTCCTCGGGTTTATCGTTAGTACCGAAGGCGTATCGATAGATTAGCGTAGGGTAAACGCTATTACCGAGTAGCCTCGCCTATTAACGCTAAAGGAGGTTTAATCCTTCCTTAGATTCTATAACTTCTATCGGAGGTTTATTCCAAATTACTCCCGAATTGTTATACCGCTAACCGCCCTATCGAAAGGTGCCGTAAATAGCCGGAAGCTAGGGTAGGTCCCGTAGGGCGAAAGCGAGGAGCAAGCGTTCTACTAGCTAAAGGCTGCCTTTAGCTTAGTCTCGATATTGCGACACTATAATCCTACGAAGCCCCTACGTATCGAGACCGATGCCTCTACGTTTGCCTTAGTAGGAATTATATTATAATAGAGCGAAGATAGGAATTAGCACCCTATTGCCTTCTAGTTACGAAAAATAGTCCTAGCCGAGACGAATTATAAGACCTATAACTAGGAGCTCCTAGCGGTTATCGAGTCCTTTAAGTATTAGCGCCCGTACCTCGATAGCGCTTAGTATACGACCCGCGTAGTTATCGACTACGCTAATCTTAAAGGCTTTATAAAGATAAAGCAGCTCGTCGGAAGGTAGGTAAGATAGGCAACCTTCCTTATATCTTTTAACTTTACTATTAAATATCGGGCTAGTAAGCGAAACCTAGCAGATACGCCTTTACGACGTAGCGACTACGAGAGTAAGTCGTAGGCGGTAAACAACCTTCTCCCTATATTATAGTCGAAACTAGCTCTATAGTTAAATCTACCCGAGGATATTAAGCTAATTATAAAACGTATCTCTATTATATATATTAGGATGCGAGACGCTAGTATAGCGCTAGCGGAACGCAAGAGTTTTATTAGCAGTCCCGTAAGAGTAGCGGCTACTATCGTTAGGAATAACGGGCCCTACTACGAGATACCTAATATAATCCTTAGTTTCGTACGTACTCTGTAATAGCTAGAGTAAGCGAGAGAAGGAGGCTTATACGAGACAAGCTTACTGTCGGGTAGCTTAGCCTCTTTAAGTAGCTCTAACCTCCCGCCTAGCTATTCTCGTCGTAGTAACCTTATTTACTACGGCGATGCGCTATATATCCCTAAGGACTACGCATTACGTACGTAACTAATACGTATATACTACGACGACCCTTTAGCTAGACACTTTAGTATAGCTAAGACTATAGACCTAATACGCCGAAAGTACTTCTAGCCGAAGATAGCCGAGGATATTACGGCCTATATCCGTACTTATAGAATTTGTTAATAGTCGAAGGCGAAGCGCTATTGCCTATATAGCGAGCTCGCTACTCTACCTATACCGACCCGACCTTAGTAAGAATTAACGATAGACTTTATTACCGATCTCCCGCCGAGCAAGCTCGGTACCTACGTATATACTACGATCCTCGTAATAGTCGACCGCTATACGAAGATAAGCCTCTTTATCCTAACGACGAAGAAGTATATAGTAGTAGAACTCGCGGATATCCTTTAAAGGGAGGTAATTAGGCGTTTTAGAGTACTATTAGGCATTATTAGCGATCGTAGATCGCTTTTTACTAGCTAGTTTTAGAGCGACTTCTGCTTCGAAGCGTATATAAAGCATAGGCTTAGTATAGCCTTCTATCCTTAGACTAATAGGCAAACCGAACGCGCGAACTAGACCCTCGAGTAATACCTACGATACTATTACTCTAAGAATTAGGATAATTAGGCTAAACTATTACCTTAGGCGGAGTTTGCCTATAATAATAGCGTTTATCCTACGTTACGTATAAGCCCCTTTAAGATGCTCTACGGCTTCAACCCTAATTTAATGCTAAGCGCAAATAAGCTACTAGCTCGGGACGAGCTAACTAAGGGAAGGGTACTAGTAGCTATCGACGCTGCGGAGCGACTACGGAAAGCGCATAAAACGCTTATAGAACGCTAGTAGAAAGCAGCAGAATACTAGGCTAAGCAATACAATATATACTACACTACTAAGACATATAGTATAGGTAACCTAGTCTTACTATCGACAAAGAATATTAGCTTAGATGTCCTAAAGAAGAAACTTAGCCTAAAGTATATAGGGCCTTTCCGTATTATTAACGCAGTTAGAGCGTAGGTATACCGCCTAGCAATACCGTCAAGTACGAAGATCTATAATGTTTTCTATATTTCCCTCCTCGAGCCTTAGTATAGGCGCGATAGCGAGGAGTATAAAGTAAGCATACCCGTCGCTAAAGGCGATAAGTAGTAGATAGAAACAATCGTAGCAAAGAAGATAAAGAAGCGGAAGGCGTACTACCTTATTAAGTAGCGAGGATAGCCTAAAGAATATAATACTTAGGAGCTAGCTATTTATATTAAAGATTCTATAGCATTAGACGAGTTCGAAGCTTAAGCGAAGCGTAAGCGTAGGTAGTAATTAAAACAAAAGAAAATGAAACTTAAGAAAAATAGTAGATACGTACTCGTTTCGCTACTAAAAAAGGCCTATTAGCCTAGTATATATAAAGAAGGCGCCGCGTAGGCGCAGCGATAGCAGGCCGCCTACTCTACTTATCCTTAGACTCCTCCTCTTCGTCCTCCTCTTCGATACCTATAGCGGTATCGACAGTAGCGACGGCGTTAGCGCCGACGCGCTAAGCGAGGTTCTAGTGCAATTAGTATATAAAGCGTAGATAAGACGAGGCTATAGGAAAAAACTATACCTAACGACCGATCTCTACTAAGCCGGCTAAGTTAGTGCCGATATTCTCGAGGGTACTAAGTAGGTTAATATTCGTAAGGGACCCGCTAGCGGCCCCTTTACGGGCTAGGGCTTTACCGCCTAGAGTTACCTTATTCTTCTTAATAAAGAAGGCGTCGAGCGTAGATAGGATAACTAATAAGGAGGTTAGTATACGAAGCGCAAGCAGAGCGTATAAGAAACCTACGTGCGACGACGGCGTCTAGGTTAGCCTAGAGTGCCTCTAAGGCCTCGTTAGACTCCTTAACGGAGTCGTAGCCGTCTAGATTGTAAAGGTCGCGTATAGCGCATACAGCGCGGATGCGGGCTAGTAGCGATACTAGCGCGCGTACCGTAATAGGAGTATAGGTATAATAGCTACTACGGTAGCGATTATAGTTACGCTTAGTAGCAGGGTCTATATTGCCGCCTACGTAGAGCTTAGACAGGTTATCTAAGGCGAGTTAGTTGCGAAACGCGTATACGTAGCAAGGGGCGAGAAAACGTACTATTAGCCGTTATATGCCTAAAGCAACGAGTATAGCTCTCTAGGACTTTTAGTAGGCGCTAGGTAGGCGTAGTAGGTATCGAGGGCGGAGCGCCTACGGCGCGCTTACCTAAGGTACGCGAAGGAGTAGCTATACTAGTAATGTTTTTTTTAATAGATGTTTAAGAAAGAAAAATCTTTAAGTAATGCTAGGGAGGCGTAAAGGGGGAGTAGGCAGGGGGTAGGCGGGTAGTGTTTAGAGCGCTTAGAAAAAGAAGAAGTTTTTAAGCGGGCTTCGAATGCTTTAAATACTCGCCTCGCTTTTAGATAGCTTGCGTTCTCGCGTAGCTACCGCGTTCTTAGAAATTTAGGCAACCTCTAGTTAGTACTAGAAGTAGCCGCGCTTTAAATCTATAAACAAACAAGTAACTACGATGCAAATTATAACGCGCCTAGCAACTATAGCCTAGCGATAGGTGCGTATAAGACGCGCAAGTATAGCGCAGAGTATAAGAAATAGTATAATTTACTATATTGCCCTATAGCTAGGATAGCTATACTAGGGGAAGGAGATAATTATAAGAACCTAAGTAAGTAAAGTCTCCTATTATACCTTAGCAAGCCTATATAACAATTATATAATGTTATTACGTATACTGCGGTACTATCTCGCTAGCGTAAAGCCTACTTAGCGTATACGCGGAAAAGCTCGGTCGCTCGTACGAATATACTCGGTTACCGGCTCGGCATATATACTATCCGTACGTAGCCTAGTTAATAGTAAACACTCTGCCCTGTTCTAAAAAAGGCACGGTTTAGTTCTACTTTCTACTACGGCGATTAGTAGAGGGTGTTCTATACGTTGCTATATACCTATTTTCTTATAGTTAGCTCGATCGCGTTTAATACGTATACGACAAACCTAAAGATAATGCGCCTACTAAAAGAAAACGAAGCGCTAAGTTACGTTATTATAATGCTATACGACTTATACGGAAGCGCATTGTTAATGCGAGACTTCTTTAAATATCCGGAAATAGCGGTTCTATACGACTAGGCTTAGTATATTGTCTCTTACCTATCGCGGAAGAAGGCGATATACTAGCTTCTAAAGCGCAAACAGAAAGAGGTATATAATAAGACCTTCTTACTTATTAGTATATACGATACTCGCTAGCCGACTATTATCGCCTTCTTTAAGTTACTTAAACGTAGTAAGTATACCCTTTAAGAGCTTATTCGCGACCCTCTCTATACTCTAGACTATAACGCGCGTTCTTTAATTACGGACTATAAGTTTTAGAGTAATCTTTCCGCGGCAATTAATCTACTAGAGCTACTTAATAACTACTTAATCTTATCTTAATCTAAAGAAGCTACGCTCGAGAAGGTAATACCTCGCTAGCTTGCCTATAAAGCTATCCTCGAGAAGTAGGTCGATACTAGCCCTCTACCTATTCGTAAGCTTCTCGAAGGTATCTAGCACGTTCTTATTACTCGTAAGTCGACTACAACTATTACTAGATAGCAAGAGAGGTTTATATAGCAAACAACTAAGCATTACTAGGCAGTATACTTCCTTAACCTAGCGATAGTCTAGTAGGATATAAAGCCGACTTCTACTAAGTAAGCCCTTATACTCGATGCCTTAAGAGCTACTATAAACGATACCGAGAAGTAGCTTGCTATCGAAGCCGCTTAGTACGATTATATCTATAAAAGAGGCTCGTTTACCGCTTCTAACGACTGCTAGATACGCTATAGCGACAATATAAAGATCTTCTAGAGCAATAGGGCTACTACTTTACTATTGCTAGCAATATACGCTCTACGGCTTTATTAAGCTATAGCTAATACTATAACTACTAAGCGGACGTTCTTAGCCCTTAAACTAATATAGATAAGGCTCCGTTCTCGTCTAACTATAGAGCGGCTTAATTAGCTAATCTTTATCTACTTTAACTATCGAGTCCTTCGTAGCGAGGTCTTAAATAATAATAGTAATAAGAAGCGGAAGCAGACGACTCTATCTACTAGCGGCGACTTTACTTAGGAATAGCTCTAGTAAATAGACGAGGAAGAGATTACGGTAGTAGCTAATACTATAGTATTATTATAGAGCGCTATCTACGACGTTATTAGCGACAGTTTAAATAGCAATCTACCTGCTTATAACGAATACGTAGAAGAAGTAGCTCTAGAGACTGCTTTTAGAAGGGTTAATATCTATAATCTATTGTCTTAGGTCTTAGGTCTAATCTACTGCAAAATCTATATATTGTATGCCTACGAGTTATGCCTGCGACTTAATAATAATCGCACCATATTGCGCGTTAATTATAGTCGCGCGCGCGCGACCGACTTAACCTAGCCGATCTCTGCCGCGCACCCAAGGCAGGAGTGCATGTGGTCCTCCTGGTCAGCTTGGAAGGTGGGAAAGTTCTTGATGCGGTTGGAAGAAGAAGGCAGTGACCCGACTATCTCATCCGACATCCCAGCCGAGAGAAGGGTATCGGAGGCCTGGCTAGACTTTTCTGATAAGAGTCTACCTGCAGGACGAGGACGGATCGGATTCAAGAGAGCTGTGCCCAGAGCCGCTGCAAGATATGCCCTTTACCCTGGCTTACGACTGGTGCACGGATGAACCACGATTCATACCTAGCCTCCATTTCGCTACTGTTGTTATTTCGCCACACAACTAGCAACCACTAGTCCGCCGACGGGACAGCTCACGGCGCCAGAGGACAATGAACGCGTGGTGACGTGGTCTTCGTTCAACCCGTAGTTGTTGGATGCCACGCAACACAAGACCGCAAACAATTGCGGCCACTTGTTGACGCTGGTCACGCCAAAGACGCCGGTGTCAGAGGGGATAGCGCGAGCTCACGGGACCCGACAGGTGTCAATCGTACTGCTGTGGAATTATTGCACGTGGTCGAGCGAGGATGCGATCCAGCGCAATGCTTCGCTGATGAGCGTCTGGACCGAAGGAGCGTCAACTGGATTGTTGCACATTACTGGATGTGCTCTCACATCACATCACGGTCCGCGTGGAGGCTGAAGGTGGCAGGTCGAGGGAAATGGGTGGACGTACTGCAGTGAGCAACGCACAACTTTGAAGATGCGAACTCCGTTCTACCATACCTGCAAGCTGCGGCTCACAATCAATCAATCCCACGTGTCTGCAGTACACCACTCATTGCAGGCTTGGTACCGAGCAGAAGATATGCCCATTGTCACACGGGGAATATGCATACTGTACGCACTTGATAGGAGGTCGGGCTTCGCTGTCCCGACAGCACACGTTGTTCACGGTCCATGGCGTGGCGCAAACATCTCGAAGGATTAGCACAGAGGCCGCCGAGGAAGGCTGACGTGAATACTGTTTGATTGCAGTGCGACAACCATTCACTCGCAAACATCTCGAAGGATTAGCACAGAGGCCGCCGAGGAAGGCTGACGTGAAAGACTGTTTGATTGCAGGGCGACAACCATTCACTCACCATCAACATTTGAACGGCATCAGTGGGCCGTGCGTCTCTCGGTCCTGTCCTGGCCATAGGATCGCACTTCGAAGAGTATGCAGGTGCCACGATACGACAGGGATACGAGTTACACAGAACCGACTTTCGTCGCCTGCAGATCTCCACCGATGCCCTCACTCTGGCGAGGCGCGATTGTCGAATTTCCGATCAGTCAGATTGCGGCGCTTCCTACTCGCTGCTCGCGGAGGATGTCTGCACTTGGGAATACTGCCGCTCTGACACCATGATCGACCTCGCCCGTGACCGTCCTATCACTGCATCAAGCTAGAATAGTGACCACTATCACGGACTCCTTACAGCAAGGCATCCCTTGCTAGACGGCTTGCTGTTACAGATTGAACGTGCTCGCTACCGTGGAAACGCACAGAAACACATGCAATACCTCAAAATCACGCCTTGCTTCGGAACGAACGAATGAATGATTCACTTGTGCCTTCCCTGTTCAGCTGGGGCTGCAGGAATCTTTGCAATTGCTTCTAGCCAACGTTTCTAGAACCCATTGCAATTGCCATTTGGTTACACATAGTCGTGTCTCCTCAACGTCCGGTGTCGTGTCCTGGGACTCTCAAGGATTACGGGCCTTGAATATGCAGCTGGCCGCGAGTACCGATGGCCAGCCATTCCGCACTCCTTGTCGTGCGTCTGCAGTAGCCCGTTGATGACGGATCGAAGCTCCGTGGCATATGCGAGTGCAGACTTTGGAGAATAAATGATGCTCTTCCTTCGCTCCTCTCTTGACCAACTTCTCTACTCGAATCTGCCCTTCCACCAGACGACTCACACGACTCAAACTATACCTCGCGCAATCTTACCAACCACGCACATCAAGACAAGAAAACAATGACAATGGAAGACGTTCAAGCAGCGCCACCGGTCGAGGAAACACCAAAAATCCCAGACTACTTGGCATCACCAAATGCCGTCTTCAGTGATAAGGACGTCCAGTGGCGATATGGAAAAGCACCCGACTACACGAAGACTCGCAAGGTCTGGGCTGAAGGTATGTGACGCTTTCACACATGACGACTGGTCATCGTTATTCTCACGGTGGCATGTACGGTGACTCCCGCTGTGCTACAGCATGAGTTCCTTGATAACCACGTGGCATGGCGTTCCGAGCTACAGGTCGGTTGTAGCTAAAGTCTACCTCTCTGGAAGCCAAGCATTTCTCGCGCTCACCCTCTACAACATCGCAACATTACGCAGAACCGACCATTGTTCTTCCGTCTTTCCGAGAGGGTGGCCATGCTTTCCAATGAAATTCCTGCTGACCGCCATGTCCAGGCAAACGCATGAATCATCAACCGGGAAGCCTGGAAGAGATGGTGGAGAACTTGGTGAAGAATTGGGAGGTCGAAGCGTCATTCAAGCCGCGCTTGTCGGATTGGAGGACAATTGATCACGAGAAGTACTCCTTCGCCATGGGAGGTGGTCCGCCACAGTAAGTCGCTTCACGTTTTGTGTCATTGTGAGTGAGGTGAGCGACTGACAAGCTTGGCCGCCAGGGACGCAGAGCATATGATAAGGGTAAGTGACACATCGTTTACACCTGCCTTCTTGATCGTTCGACTTACATTTCCATCAAGGTCGGCACCTACAACGGCATCATCGCACCGAACGAGTACTACAGCCCCGAGAACTCAGACTTCGCATCAAGCCACAAGACCTTCAAACGTATGATGCCCACCTTCGCCTGGGAAGTTTTGGAAGTATACAGCGGCCCACCACGAGTGGCTTTCAGGTGGCGTCACTGGGGCGTGATGAAGAATGACTATGTGGGATTCAATGAGTACGTCGTCGGCGTACCCTGTTACGCAATCCCGTGCTACAACATTCCAAACCGGCGGTCGTGCTTTTGCTAACGTCGTACACAGCAAGGGCCAGAAAGTCACCGCCAAGGCCCATGGCGGTCAGATTGATATCGAAGGTGTCACCGTCGCCGAAGTCGACGACAAAGTCCGTCTTCAAGCCATACAAACCTGGATGGATCCTCTCGAAATGTTTCGACAGATTGCCCCTCACGGAGTCGTTAACAAGGAAGTCATGAATCGAAACGTCGAGATGGTCGATGCTCTTGATGTCGGACCGAATGATTTTACCACTGTACCACAAGGCAAGACAGAGCCTTCTCCTCCTCCTCTTCCCAAGTCTGGTGGAGACGCCACACCAAACCCTGCTGCCGGAGCTGACGATCAACCTCTCCCTGGTCAAACCTCCTCCAAGCCACAACAACCCAACCCAATCTCCACCACCACCACTCCCGAAGCACAACAACCTTCCACAACCCCAAATCTTCCTGCCCCCCAGCATGAGACTTCGACTCCCGCAGCACAGAAAATTTTCGAAACGGCCGCTGCTTCCCAAGGCTCTGACCGAGAAATCGAAATCGAAATCTCAAAACCTGAATCCAACGCTCAACATGTCTCGGAGGTCATCCCTCGAATCGAAACTCTTCCTCAACAAGAACAAGAAGATGTCCCTCCTCGTTCGATTTATTCTTCTTCTGTCACTGGGGACAAAGAATCCATCCATCCTGCTGCTGCTGTTGAGGGCGATGGATCTAAGGCTCGAAGTGCAGAATTTTCTCCGGGTGTGAAACCTCAGGCTGGGGAGGCGGTTGTTGCGGATGCGGGGAGTGAGGAGACGAAGAGGGCGAGGGAGGAGATGGGGAGGATTTCGGGTGGGGAGTGTCCGTTTTTTATGAATCGGGAGTGAGGAGGGAGGGGGGGAGGGGATGGATGGGTGGGGGTTAGTGGAGTTGGAGATGAGGATGCATACATGTATTGTCATGATTGATTTGATTGTTTATAAGTAGTGGACAGAGTTTGAAATGAAACATATATATGCTGAATGTAGTGGGATTCTTTGAGACTTTGCTACTAGTGGTGTTATTTCCGTTTAATTTTAGTACGCTGTTAGCTGTGTATATATATAAGAGAGAGAGAGAGAGAGAGAGAGAGAGTAGATATATATAAGCGTATATAAGGCTCTCTATTACTGCTATAGCCTATAAGATTCTAATCGAACTAAGAATCTAATAGTAGCCGAGTTTTTAAGGCATTTAAATAGAATTTTAGCTAAGGTAAATTATCTAGTAGTAAAGATAAGGCATTATTCGAAGGACTGTCGTATACTCGTTATAATTTAAATAAATCGTTTAATACTAGTAACGGACCAGATGATCGCATAACTATAATATACTTAGCGAGAATATTACTAATGTCTTTAGGCGAAATAATATTAAACTACTTTATTTTAAGCATTTTTAGTGTTTCGTGCCTAAGAGCTATTATAGTCTATAGAATTTTTTGGATTCTATTAAGCTTATTCTCGAGGACAGAGTATAGCGATCTAGCAGGTTACCTACAGAGATATAGAGTGAAGCTAATATAGTACAGCTCAATTTTCAGACACAACTTGGAAGGCGAATTGGACGCATAGCGATATTCCTCGTGTCCAATTCTCGGCGGGTGGTGTTCATGCTTTGCGCGGGCTGGAGATCATCGTCGCTGCCTGGAGATGGCCGAACTTGGTAGTTGATCACTCTCGTGAATTGGTGTCAGATGTTTCGCGCACAGATTGTGGCCAAGTCCGAGGCAAAGTCGTCGTCTTCGCGATAGGATCATAGCTCGTCGTTGCCTGGAATGCCACCAGCCATAGCCATCTTGCTTTCGTGTTCACGATACGTCGCTGCGGCCTTGCTGGTAAGCGGAACGCCAAGTGTATTCTAGAACTATTGCCGGACGAATCGGCGCGTGGTGGTTGTCGCTGACGTCGCCATTTGACTCTTGTACTGTAGAATAACGGCAAATTTGCAGCGTGTCACCACCACCAACACCACAGAGAATGCTCACGTGTTCTGTCTCGCAGTGTTACGGGTGTTTCATCCCACACTCGCACCGCGTCGTCTGTCGGAAATAATAACACCTCTTCCGCCGGCAAAAGGTGTCTAATGATGATGAGTCTGATGACTGTCCGCCGACAAATCTCCCGACGGCGGCGAACGACTCACAGACTCCCGTCACAACAAGCGAGAGACATGTGTGAGCATTTCCGGTGCACTCCGATGTCTCATTGCTGCGCTGCGTGTTGGAGTCAAAGGTGAGGAAATTTTTGCTAGTGGCACAGGCCAGAGCATGATCACTTGGAAAATCTCTTGCTCGTCACGTTGTCACGTTGGACCGAGAATGGTATTGTTCGCAGTCGTCACGGGACTAGGAGAGGAGAGATGCGTTGTCTTTCTCAGACCGGCGGACGGCGTGGAAAGTCTCGCCTGCAGGCTGCAGCTTGTTCAACGTTGGGTGAGATGGGTGCGGCACGGCACGGCACGCTGCGCTACGGTATACAGCGTCTTTACACTTCGGAGTGAAAGTAACTAGGCGCGGCCCGCTGAATAACAAGTTTCTATTCGCTGTAATCCTTGAGAAACAGGGATCTGGTGAATACCCACTTTCACTCCGAAGTGTTCAGACGCTGTACACAGCGCATCATCTTTTTGTGTGTTTACTTGGGGTTTTAATACTTAGCGGATAGAAACATTTTATGTAGCGGATTTATAGTCTTAGCAAACTTCGGCTTTATATAGTAATACCTTCGTACCGCTATATCTTAATAACTATAATATATTTTAATGTATAATAAAACGCGCTAAAGATAAGAAAGGTAATATCTTAATATATATTTAATTTAACGGTAATATAATATAATATAGTTAAGTAGCTGCTATATAGGGGAAGCTAAGGTCCGCTTACTAGTTCTACTAATCTAATAACTTAATTCGAGTTGTTCTTATATCTAAATAGCGGCCGCTACTAGCTAGCTAGCTTCGCGGAGGATTATTAGCTTATAGATATCTAGTTTCCTTACCTTCTATTCCTCCCTCGATATCCTACTAACCTACGAAATTTAGTATATAAGCCGATACTAGTAGAGGAGATATAAGCGGTCCTTATAGATATCTAAGAGTATAGTTTCCTCTATACTAAAGCCTCTCGTAGCTCTACGGATTTCCTCTCGGTCCCTACGCTCTCTATAGCTATATATAACTCGCCTACTATTACGCTCTAATATAGTATAACTATAAAACTTAGTATATAGAAGTAGATAAAGAGGGTAGAGGTATCGCCTAGTATAGCTAGTAGGGCTACTAGTAAAGAATTTAGTTAGTAGCAAGGCCTTGCTATATAGCGCCCTATAGAAGGCCTTATAGCTATTAGTATTATTACTTAAAGAGCTTCGTAAGCTTATTAATCTTATCTTTCTTAGTACTAGCTAGTTATAATAATATTATTAGCCTCGCTAGATCTATATTCTCGTAAATAATATCTCTATAGTAGTAGAATGTTAGAGGCTATATATAATTAGTATATAACTAGCTCGAGTAAAGTATAAGAAGGGTTATATTAGCAGGTAGATAGGGTAGTAGTAGGTTAGTATAGTATTCGATAGAGATCTAAGAGAAGAGGGAGGAAGGCAGGCTAGTTAGCCTAACGCTAAGCGCTAAGCCCCACCTAAGGCACTAGGACCCTAGCTTTACTCGAGCTAGTTATATACTAATTACATATAGCCTCTAATATACGCTTCCCTTCTAAAGGCTACGCCCTCGTAGCCCTCTATGCCTCTATTCTAATCTCTTTATACTAACTTAGCAAGTCTAATAACTAACTCGCTCCGCGCTAAATCAAACGCTTAACTAACAGTTAACCGACTAATTACATTATCCTATCTAAACCTTACCTCCGACAATATCTAACTTCTAACTACGCTATTACTACTACTATAGTAATAATAAGGGGTTATATAGCTATACGAATTAAAGGCTAGTAACTAATTATAATACGAGCGTACCTTCTCTGCTATAATAGGTAGGTATACGGGGTATTGCAGCACTGCCCCCGTTCTAAGTAAGGTTGTCCGAGTTCTTTGCGTCTACTCTAAAAGACCTAGAAATATCCGCTTCTAAGGGTTGTTCTTATTATTACGAGGGCTATTATTTACTATCGTAGTTTCGCTAGCCCTAATTAGTTAGGTTTAGCAGCCTTTAATTATTAATTAATCTTATCTTTTCAAAAACGCAGTTCGTCTAGTTTCTATAAGTAAAGGCTATTATAAGTATAATAGTTAAGGTTTGCCTCGCTTAAAGGGTCGGAAAGATCGAGGAGTAACCTATTATCCGCAAGATCGACCCTAGCTAGCTTAGCTCTATATTTTTGCCTTTAGTTAGTCTATTAATCGTTTAACCTTTTTAGTCCCTAAGTCCTTCGAACGGCTTAACCCTTTTAACCTAGCGTCTTAGCCTTAGGCTATAGTATAGGTAAGGTTATTCTTATAGGTATAGCGATAATAGTAGGTAATATTAATAATAGCGGCACTAGCCGTCTTAGCGCTAACTTTACCTTACTTCCGATTTCCTTCTTCGACTAGTAATATACTCTATAATACTATTACTAATATAGCCGTATCGGCTATCGGCATACTACTAGCTCGTAGCGCGACACTATTATCCTTATTACTATTATTCGTACGCGCGCGTATCGCCCTTATCGATCGCTTAGGCCTCGAGGCTCTATAGGATAAATAAATAAAAGAGGGACCTATAGGGCTCGGTAGTAGAGAGGTAGATATCTTTTAGAAGAGTAGGCGATTAGTTAATACGTTATAGCGCGCTAGTATAGTCTTATTGTCCTAGTTTGCCGGCCTCTAATTAGTTAGCAAATGTTACCCCGGGGGTAGCATTAATCCTAGGTCTCTCTTAGTAATATTATAAGCTTTTAGCCTTCTTCTTGTTCTTTACGCTAGTCTAATACTTATCTAACAACTCGGCTATATAAGCCTATATTCTTAAACGAGTCCTTAGCCTCCTACGAGTCCTATTTAGGTAAATAGCCTTGCTATCTTAGGAGGTATTCCTTCTTGCCTTGCCTAGTCTAATGCTTTAGAATACGTTCTATAGACTATAGCTCTTTACTATTAGCTAGTATGTCCTCGGATTTAGTAGGCGCCTTATCCCCTTCGCGTAGGTAGTACGGCTTAAGGAGGGATATATAGAAGGTGTTATAGATAGTATAATAAGGTAGAAGCTATAGTTAATAGGCCTAGGTGCCCCTAGGTTCTCGGATACAGAAAGGGCTAATATACCTTAGTGCGAGTTTAGGCCTTGTTTTGCTATTAGGCGAGGGGTGTTTACGGATACGGAGGTTCTTCGTACTAAGTATAACTATATCGCCTTGCTTAAAGGTTATTAGGGTATAGTGTTTGTTATAGTAGGCCTTCTAATAGGCCTAGGCCTTCGCTAGTTTGTTAGCTAACTTAGCGTAAATTTCCCGCATCTTTTAAACCCCCTTAATAGCTACTAGTATCTTAGGGGTTAGTACTTAATACGCTTCCCTTTCCTTACGCTCGGCCTCGAGCGATAGTAGGTCTTATAGTATAGCAGCGTTCTAGCCTATTATAGCTATATATAGTAAGACCTTAGTTAATAAATACATACTATTACCGTATACGAATTCCGCTAGTTATAAGAGATTAACCTAATCGTTAGGGTTCTCGTTAATATAGCTACGTAGGTACTGCTATAGGGTAGCGTTTTGCCTCTCGGTCTAGCTATCTGTTTATAGATAGAACGCTATAGATAGGCGATACTTAAGTCTTAGCTATAGGTATATCTTACTCTAATAGTAAGATATAAATATCGACCCTCGGTCGGGGACTATCCCCTTAGGGGTCCCCTAATAGCTATAGAAGATGTTATTCTATAGTAACTTAGCTAAGTTAATAGCCGTCTAATCCTTCCGAGTAGGGATATAGCGAGCGCCCTTAGTAAACTAGTCTACGACGACTAGGATAGCGTTAAAGATATCTTTACTTCCTTTTCGCTTAGTAGGGGGAAGACCTATAATAAAGTCTATTATAAGCTCTACAAATAGCTTATAAGGGATTAGTAATAAGGACAACTCGCTAAAAGGC